TTGGGCGCCATGTGACAATGGCTGTTATTATTAGTGGAGCCGACCTTCAGGGCCGCCTCATCTCGAGAATACCTTGGGTCCTTCCAATAGTGCTATCTTCTTAGAAACGTGGTGCACGCGTGTACCACGCACATTTTTTCACGGTATTATATAGTATATTACAGTATGCTGTAAAAGATCTTGATACATTCTATCTGTAGGTCGTAACTTCTTAAATCCTGTGCTTTTAATGGAAGGAACGCATGCAACAGACCTAGGGACTTTCATTTGTGTAAATTTACCTATTTTTTATATTACTAAGGGCTGATTTTTCATTGGGTAGATAAAAGTTATCTGGGGAATAATGATGATGCTGTCGCGTCAGAATGTTTGTATACGACAGTGACAGCTACAATTTTAATCTCCAGATAACATTTATCTGACTATTGAAAATTGTGCCTTTAGCCAAGTATGTACCTAAGTACTTACTTGTTTTTTTATAACCAATCATAAAAAGTAGTTATTCGACAAAAATGAGTTCGGTACTTAGATTCCACCTAAACAATAAGGGTGCGATAAATTACCATGCGACCGCATTTAGGTGTAAGTAACACTTTTTATTTCATCAAACCCCAAGCGAAAGTTTGTGCGCCTATGGTTCTTCTATCAGATATTCTACATAATTCTAGATCGAGACAATCTCAAATTATCAAGAATGAAAGCTTTAAAAATATTATTTAGAGTTACAGTGCAAGTATCAAGTTCACGAGGCCACAGTACAAATTCCTTTGCCTTCTTAGCGCCAGCCTACCTGTGGTGTAAAAAAAGCATTCTGGCTGCAGGGCCGCGTCGGCGCTTTTGAGATAATTTATAAGGCTCTGCCTTTCTTGGAATTTCGAAATCTCGACGAGATAGCTCCGTGCCCAACCCGCGGCTGCGAGAATGGAATGTAACGGATTTGGATAGGAAAAAAATAGTGCATTGTAAAGACATCTATTGTGATACGTTTTCGTAACGACTTCTCATTTATTTATAAAACGAATATACCTATAGGTAATTCCATGTTCTTCAAGGTTCAGTTGCTACGGCTCCAATCGAATAAAACTTACCTTATAGATCGCACTACAATGACATTCTATTTGTTAATTATATTATACCTACTTAGATACTTCATATAAATACAATCGAAATTAAGTACTTGTAAATTGAATTGTTAGAAAAGCCTTCGGGTGTTATGGACAATGGGAACAGAATACCAATTAGATAACAGTCCAGTAAGCTAAGCACATGCAAAGATCCAAGTAAATAGTGCCAAATGCTTCATCTTCATCATCCATTTTGTTAAGTTGTAAGACTGTCGCGCTGCCATGCTGTAATAAAACTACGACAAGTAAAATTAAGTACCTAATCGAAATTCAATTTTATACAGCAAGCCTTAGCTATTCCAATTAAATGGCCAATTACCAGAGCATCGATTTTATTCGGAAAGATAGAGAAAAGGAAGAATGTTGACAATAACAAGTGTTTCATATCAGCACACAATGCTTGTGTTCGGCGAGGTGGCTGGGTACTTCGTGCAACTGATCCCGTCCCGCGGGCTGCGGCACGGAGCGAAGAGTTCTGGGAAAAGCAGGCCGCATACCACGCCGAGAGCTGCTATTGGCCCGTCTTGTCTTGTGCCCGCCCGCACGCAAAGACAACATTTCAGAGGCGGCACATTTTGTTCGAAACAACTAAGTAACTAAGCAAGTACGTGCTTTCTCCTGTGAAGGTAGCTGGCAACTTCAACGGATTCGAAGCTGGCAACATCAACCTGCTCACAAGTTGAGAACATACATGACAGTAAGTCAGAATTTCTAATCTGCAATACATATCACTAGGGCTTTATATTAAGGTCCAGACAAAATAATGAAGACAAGAACAAATAAAACATTTAAGTAGTTTAGATTGGATTACTAAAACTTACACTGCTACTGCCAATTTGCAACTTTTTAATACAGCCATTTATTTAATTTCACTCAAGTATACCTGTAGATACTTAGGTACTTAGTATGTAGGTACCCACTTACTTGATGTCTTATTTTAATTTATGTTAACTTTTAATTTTATGATTATGCACCATAAAATGTTTTTAATTATACACGACTTAATGGAATTTCAATTTTCGCGCCAAAGAGTAAAACGAACAATCTTTGTGGATCTTGCTTTATTGTTAACATCTAATTTTTTTAGGTGTATGAACTTATTCATAAATTCAAAGAGCAATGCTCGCTTGGGTAGTTTCTGTGAACCTCTACTCTATGGTCATTGTTAAGTCACGAAGTGAGCGCTGTAGGCACCACTCTCGTCGGCCCGGGTTCATTCATTAAAATATGCATTTATTATTACTAACATGCGTCTGTGTTGAATTGCCGCAGCCAGACAGGCCTTTAGTAGTTTTACCCTGTCAATTTTACAAAAAGACATTAGCAGAGGTAGGTAACTTCCGATATACATCTGTAATATAGGTAGGTACTTACCTACTTAATGATCAAAATAAGTTTTTACAATTTATAGTTCATGTAGTACGTAGGTATAGCAAATTTTCAACAACTTGTAGGTTATTGTATGTTACAATAGATAAGAATTGCAATAAAAAAGGTCGGAAATGAATTAATTTTGGCCAATTTCAGGAATTAGGTAAGGGGGTGCGGTGAAGGTGAGGCGTAAGGGATGAGGGCGACAGCTGCGAAGCACGTGGGGCGGCAGCTGTGGCGAGCTGATGCCGCGCGCCGCCCGCGCTGGCACAAGCTGCAGGCGCACCTGCCACCGTCAAATATTACTAAGTTTTTGTACTGCTACCTTCACAAAGCAATAATAAAGTGAATTGACATCTGCCCCGCTCAGATTAACCTAACATATGAATATTATAAACATTGATATTTGCTAGGTAAGTAAGTATACCTATAGAAATTCTAAAACTAAGTAAGAAATCGCAGAATTGATGTCAAATAGATACAATGAGAAGGAATACAAAAGGCATGTGTAAGTACCTACCTACCTTTTAATGGTGTAAAAAACTGAATATCATAATTAGGTACTTAATTACATTATGGGATGTGGTTACACCATGGAGAAAGACCAAAACAAGGTGCAGAGGCTGTGCCATGCAACTAGAGTCCCGCCCCGGCCTGGAGCAGAAGATGGAACGGGGTGGTCTTTAGGCAGTTTTAGGAATCTTACTTTCCGGCTTCTCGTAGAACGGGAGAACTTGAAATTGAGAGAAACTTAATTTTTCCCCTAAAAAACGAACAGCATAATTATTAAGATGAGCTGGCGTTGTCGCCAGTTTTAGATTGAACAACGCCTTGCAATCGGTACGTAGGTAGGAATGAGCTAATCATTGGACACGTTTTGTTACGTTTTATTTACGTAGGTAACGATGTTTATCGCCGTATCTCGGCTTAGTTTACCCGTAGCATTGAAGCGACAGCTGCACTGCTCGCTAGTTCTCAAGTAATCATTAACAGGTATAAAACCTACTTACAAAAGTATTTATTTGTCTATGTTTATCTGTGGTGTTTGGCATCAATTCTTGTGTGAAACGTCATTTTTGTAAATTCCGGAAATAATATTAAATGTTTATTTTTAGGTGAAAAGAAAAATATGGTGGCTAACATATAGATTGTGAACAGTGAATATTTAAAATATACGAGTATCATTCGAGATATGGAAAAAAATATAATATCAGAACAAAATGTGGAAAACATAAATGTTCCAATTGCTTCGGGGTCAGCTGCTACTTCAGGTTTGTTGATTTTTTGGTCCTTAAAATTTTATTTCTACCGTCCTCTTCCATATTTTTTCTGGGACCAATAAAAAGTTAAATCTTCAAGTAACTTTCCCGCAGGTCTGTACTTAAAAAATATTTTAAATATAAAATAGAAACAATAAAAGGGAAAAACAATTTAAGGCAAACTAAGATAAGTGCATAATCTCTATCACCTACCTATCTGATAGCAAAATAATTTTTGTAAACGAGTTTATAATAAGCTTGGTATTTCCCAATATCAAAATTATAGGTAGGTGATTATTTTAATGAGTACCTATCTAATTAGATACGGTAGGTATTTACCTACTTACCAATTTACCTAGGAATTTCTATTGATTACAAAAGTAAAGTGATTACAAAATACTATGGTATATTTTTAAAATATGTTATGGAAATGAATATGCGATGGCTGTTTGGATTCCTCAGTAAACCTACTTACCAACACTTGTAACAAGATTGATTACTAGTACCTAAATCTGAGCAGAACAGGTATCAATGTAGATACTAAGTATAATGAAACTACTGTATGTACCTATTCAGGTGCCTACTATCGACATCGTGGGTAATCTGTCAATGGTGTCTACTTAATGTGTAACCTACAGAGAAATTTAGGTTACTTAAATAAAAAAAATACCTTCTTATTGATCAGTTTACGCAAAACGTAAACTTCCAACAAATAGGTAGGTATAACTCTCCTAGGTTAATATTAATACTTTTTGAATTTAATACTAATGTACCTTTATTTCTTATTATGCACAGTATAACATTTTTGTCACCTAATTACGTTACTTAATTCCTTGAAAAACAAAATGTAAAGAAGACTTAGCCAAAAGAAATAGGATAGTGTTGTCATCTTAAAATAATTATTAAGTACAATTTTAGCTACACTCCGTCCAAAGGGAGATTAAAAATAACGAAAATTAAATAATCATTTCAATTGATCCATTTGGCGAATATATTATTCCCATTATATTTTTTGAATACCTTAACATTTACGATTTCTAAATTACGTATGATTTATCCACGTTAAATACATATTTTTGGGTTTGTAATAACATCAAAACTCTTAGTAAATCTCACTTTGTATGTTATCATATCGTATTATCATCTAATGATATCTGCACCGCGTAAGTTTGAATCTTATTTTAATCAACAGATTATCAATTTACGTAGAATTACGATTTCAAACTCTTATCTGGCAACACCTATACTAAAGCGCGCGCTAGCGTTGCAAGCCACAGACCGAGCGAGTGTGTGCGATGAATAGTTTTAGTCCGAACGCCGACGAGTGACGCATGTTTACGACGAGCCTACTGTGCTGACTCGAACCGCGATCGATCGTGAACCGCTGTGAACGTCACTTCGTTCGTTAGTCGCGAGTTTCGCACTCATGTTGGAGAGTTGTGTTGTTTGTTTGTCAGTCCGTTTAACGTTTGACAAGTGAGAGTGAGAACAGTTTGTAGGAACCTAGTCATAAACAATCAATTTGATGTGGTCGTGTTCCTTACCTTGTGTAAATACAAAAAAATCTGGATTACAAATGGATATTACCAAAGGTAAACGAATTTCCTTACATAACCTTCTCATGACCATATGTTTGATAGAATTGGAACGAGAGCAACGTCACTTATCCTTGTTACTAAAATTATTGTTTTATTTTGGGAGTATATGGAATGTTAACGTGGAAAATGCTACTTGATAGATCTTTGGATATAATAAAAATAGACATTTTTTAACCAAATTCATTAAATTCAAAGAAAAGTATTTTAAATCTGTTACTAAATTTGTGTGAAGAGTGTGATGTGCCAACAAGCAAATGGAGTGTGTATATTTAATTTATTTTATTAAAATAAATAGAAAATATTTCATGAATATCCTACCTCCATTGACTAAAAATAATCAAAAACGCATTGGTTTTTGATAACCTTAAATTTCAGTTTTTTATCAAAAGTTCTTGATAACTATTAAACTATATTTTAAGTTCAATGCACCTATATAAATATTAAATGAATTTAACATAATTACATAGGTATTTGTGGATATGCTTACTAACGCCATCTATACTTTGTAGATGTAAACTAAATTAAATGCTGATGTCATAAAGAAAAATATCATTGAACAAACAGTGGAATACAAATAATAAGTGGCTCTTCAGACAAACACAAAGCAAATAGATAATTTCCAGAAACACATTAACAATCATCATTGTAATTATATCTATCATTATGACTTATGTCGACTTTCAGGAAAAATTCAAGTGATAAGATACTCATATCAGAATGATTATATTTTATTTATATTTTTCCTTAAAGCTTATACACTTCTTCATGGATGTGCTTGTTCTATAACTAACTAACTATAAAATGTTAAGGCAAGGTTTTTTATACCCAGTTTGATTGTTTCATTGAGGTGGCCTTGTTACTTGATTGTTAACAGACACCCAGTGGGGCCTCTGCTACATGGATTCTTACCAAATTCATAGGTTCTGTTATGGTAACTATTTAGCACTAGATATTGACAATATAATTATTAGCATTGGTTTTATTATACTCTAACATTAAAGAAGTGAAATTCAACCAGTTATTGTTGGGAAAATCATAATTTTGCATTGTCCGCCAGTACGACATAATGTTTTATTATTCATCTAAGTTCCTTTTAAAATTGTTCTTGTTACATAGATTGCAGGAAAACATTGAAATATATTTTTATTGCTTTTCCTCATACTTGTAATTTCAGTTTGTGACTAGTAGCGCCATCTGTTAGAAACACTCAGAACTAAATAGTATATAATATACTTTGCTTTCTATATTATTTCATACCAAATATTGAAATGAATGAGGATTATGCTACAAAAAAGGGCGTCCATATTGCCGAGGAAACCCATGTAAATAAAGATACATCATAGTTTTCCTATCGAGATTCTTTACGGTATTCTTTATAACCTACCAAATATCAATAAGAAAAGGTAGGTAACTTAAAATTACCGTAAAGTACGTAAATACACAACATTGCTCGTTGAACGTAAATAAAACTTAATACGACTTACGTTTTCATCCAGTAGGCAATTAGAAAACGCAACAATATAAATACCTATTCATGATATTGATCAAATTTCAGCATTTTTATCGGTAAATAGATTTTATTTTTTATACGTTATCAGTTAGATCTGCGTGTATGATATTTTTCCTTTGGCTACATTTTAAATGTAATGCCGCGCTCTTTGATATGTATGTGCCCCATCTGGCGGATGTTCTCTTCCGCTGACACCGATTCCGGACTATCCTTCAGTTTATTTTTCTTACTTTTATGATGAGAGAAGCTATGGATTGTTTAATTTATGTTAAGACAATAAGCTTTAAATTTCATTCATTTGAACACATTCATTTTCGAGTTACGTAGTTATAAGAACATAGTTTATAGTAATGTTAAAATGATCACTTAAGAAGAAATTGCTTAGACACAACTGTACTGAAATTACATAGAAGTATGTAGCTAAATAGATAGCAGTCTAGCGCGTAGGCGCTACAGGCGAGGCATTGGAATTCGAAAGCCGAGCGCCGACCACCCATAGGCATGAGAACATGGCCCCGTCCCCTTCCCCACGCTTGCTCTCCCGGCCGGCGCCGCCTCTCGCCGCTCTCTTAAAGCACAATGCTGAATTTCATTTGCTTTTTGCGGCGAGTGACGTGAACTTTGCACATGATATCAAAGGACAGGGTGGACCTTCAAATAAAATCTGTTCTGAGCCTTAAGAAAGGCAATTAATGTTCATGCCATCATTAGGGTATACTTAAGAATTTATTTTAGTTATTGTTACTACGCCAATAGTAACAATAATAACTAAAATAAAATATTTTTAAGAAACATTGAGATATTATTGATTTAATAATATTAGGTATAAACTTTAATAAGTGCCTACTCCACTTTTTCTTTGACCTTTAACTAAAGTACAGTCCACTCGCATTCCAAGCATCTACTTTTGTGTACTTTTTATTTGGTGTTGTATTAGACCCGCCCATCAGTAAACTACTGCCACATTCCACAGGCCCTTTTTTACGCTGTGTGGTCGCGGTTTCCGCTGAAGACGGCAACGTCGCGTCTCAAATATGAATGAAATCCGGTCGGCTGTGAACGGCACGGCAACGTCGCACCAGACGCTAGCCTGATTGAGAACTTACTATCAGTGTTGCCAGATGGAATTTGAAGGATTAAGTTTAACGAGTTGTAGACATACGAGTAAAGAAAGGATGTTTTTTTTGGAACTTTTGTGATCCCTAAGTATTGATTACTTAAATATTGTAGTCATGAAAAAAAGATGAGGGCTTATAACAATTTTAAATATAAAAAATTATAAACACATCGAGTCTAAATAGTTTGTCGTTTTCGTGATGTTATCGTAATTAGCCATCTGAATCAGTCTCGTCATATTTGAAATATATAAACATAATGTATGTAAGAGCTCCTAAGTTAAGGTCATCGACCTTTAAAAATTGACTAGCGATAAAGGATTATTTGAAAAAAATCTTTAAAATGTTTTAGAACTTCACTCATTATGCTTTATAATGAGACAAGTTCCAAATCACTTTTAAGGCACGCAGTCAGCTGCAATGCTATAGTCGAATGTAACAGCTGTGTTGTAAATATACTTACAATGGCAAATTACCGAACTTCAGCTTGCACCCCATGTGTACGATAATACTCCTATTGGCGGAGGGTTGTAGCCTGACTATTTGAACCCTCTTTTAAAGTGCGTACGCTTGCGCAGTGGGGTGGTCGTTGTAGCACAATATCACCACCAGGCGGCACAGTATACGTACAGCCAACGATGTCGGTACTCACACGTACGATATCGCGCTTTTATTTTAATTCTACAATACTTATTTGCAAACGTTCTAGCTTTTTTGCAATGTGCATTTGCAGTGTTACGTGAAGTGTTCTGTGTACAATTACCTATATTCAAAATGCCTCTTCTAGTAGACACCAAAAGTAGAAATGGTAAATATCGATCCGTTTGTTGTCGGCCATTAGCTATTTTGGAGGCCTATTGTTTTGATACATTGACATCAGTTTTATGTTTCTAAACCAATAAGCTCTTAGTGAATAACAAAATATGACACTTATCAGTGAAAAACATTGCAAACACAATCAACCAATGTTATCATTGTTAGTTCCCTTTTCCTAAAGTAGTTTTTCTCAATGTTAATTGAACAAACTATACGCGTAGGTACAGACTAACATTTGCAAGTAGGAGTAGCAGTAGCAGCAAGTAAAATTGAAAAATAATGGTCTGATAAAGTCAAATGATTAAAGCAAGAAACCCTTGAGATTCTGTATATTGGTGGGTTAGCAAACAGATTCTGGTCATTCGTTCATGCGCACTGAGTGCACTTTGGGAGGAGTGAGGGCGGCTTGCGGGGCGGCGGCAGGCATTGGAATGTCGATGACGCAGCCAGCCGGGCCGGCCCCGGCGGCCGCGAACTTGTTGTTATGTGAAACTGTTTTTAAACGCACACTCGCACACACTATCTTCTACATATGCCGACATCTTGTTTATGTGATATTAAAATTAGCTTAACCAATTTACCGAGGATGCAGCATTTTTTGTTGTTTTAATTCCGAGTACAGCAAACGCCATAATTACCCAGAGGGTGCACATTGTTGAATGTGGTTAAATGTCGTAGAAAATTTGTTACCTTTTTACTAATTAGAATCTTTCTTTATTTTCAGTGGCATCCAATGGCCCCGCCTCAACATTAACGCTATTTAAGAGCGGACCGCGTGAGGCTAAGATTCGACCTCTCGCGCCACTAATGCTACCGACGCCAAGTTACGACTCAAACGCCGGCTCTCCGGCCTCGTCGCCATCCACACCTTGTTCTTCATCATCTTTCTCCATTGATAAAACCGACAACCACGACACATTTGGCTTTAGTGCGGACGCAGCTGATATGAGAAAGGAAGATGAACGTATGAAGACATTCGAAAAATGGCCCGTCAGTTTTTTAACTGGAGAGCAACTTGCTCGTAATGGGTTTTATTACCTTGGCCGTGGAGATGAAGTCCGTTGCGCTTTCTGCAAAGTGGAGATTATGAGGTGGGTCGAGGGCGACGACCCTGCGAAGGACCATCAGCGTTGGGCGCCACAGTGCCCATTCGTGCGCAAGCTGAACGGCAGTGCCAGTAGCGATACGAGTAGTTCGGGCCAAGATGAGTGTGGTGCCCGCGCCGCTCCCTCCGGCACCTCTCCACCGCGTATGGCCGGTCCCGTGCACCCACGATATGCATCTGAAGCCGCACGACTGCGCAGTTTTAAAGACTGGCCCCGATGCATGCGACAAAAACCTGAAGAACTCGCCGAGGCTGGCTTTTTCTATACTGGTCAAGGAGACAAAACCAAGTGTTTCTATTGCGACGGTGGATTAAAAGATTGGGAGAACCATGACGTGCCCTGGGAACAGCATGCACGGTGGTTTGACCGCTGTGCCTACGTACAGTTGGTGAAAGGTCGAGAATATGTTCAAAAGGTGATTTCTGAAGCTTGCGAGTTATCTGCATCAGAAGCGGAACGTGATGTGGCACCCTCACGAACTGCCACCGAGCCCAGCGCGCCTACAGAGTCGCCGGAGAACTCAGTCGACGATTCAAAGTTGTGTAAAATTTGTTATGCGGAAGAGCGTAACGTGTGCTTCGTGCCGTGCGGCCACGTGGTGGCTTGCGCCAAATGCGCGCTGGCGGCCGACAAGTGCCCCATGTGCCGGAGGACGTTTCAGAATGCAGTGCGATTATATTTCTCGTGAGAAGAGCCGCCAGTTTGAAGGCTCAATTCTAGTCTTAAGGGACGGCCGGACAGAGCTGTGTGCTGAAACCACGAGCTCGTATGTCACGTTTCCACAGGCGGAGAAACCTATTAAAACATTGTTTGATAGATGTGATAGGTACTCCCTAGCTAGTGTTTCAAAGGACGCGTAACGTCGATAGAGTCCTCAGGAGTAAGACAGATATACTTAGTTATAGTGAATTATAAAATAGTTAGCATACATTAAGAATATATAATATTGATGACGCTTATTACTTTAATTACACGATTCAATTTGACGTGTTATTACAATTATTTATTTTACACAAGTGAAACAAAGCTTTGTGTGACATTGAAACTTACCAATAGAATTTCAAAAGTCAAATGTGATAATTCCATTTATCGGTAATGACCCGAACCCATTTTTGGCAATACTTTTATGGGAATTACTAGATTTCTGACTGTGGAAGCGTGACCTTACTGAGGTCGCCCTTGTGATCTAATAATAGGCGGTGGGGCAATTAACACTCCGCGTGAAATAGTAATTTATAAGACAATATAATTTTTGATGTTAACATTATTTTAAATTATTTATAAATATACAGGTCGTGCGCGTTTTGGTACAATTATAAAGTTGTCAAATAGATTCATATGCAAGTGCAACAATAAATCTAATTCAGTTGTATAAATGTTTCATTGGTTTACTAAATTCTATAAGACTAAACTTGGTTTAAAGGCTAGTCTGAATTATTAAGTGTATTAGATACAAATGTAAAAGTGGATATTATTTTAATTATAATACAAACTATTTAATTTTTTCAAAGAATTCGGTAATGTGTCCTTGTTGTGACATAAAATGTAAATATTGTAATGTAAATATGTAGCTTATCGTTTTGTCCCACCGACAAAAGTGTACATAAGTGTTAAAACGTGATCAGCGCAAATAATGAAACAGGAAAAAGCTGCATTTGACCTAAATTCATTTAGAAACATGTTTTTGTGCTGAATAAATGTTTCTCAGTAATTAAAATTTAAAGTTTAAACAAGGATTCTATTGACACACTCCAGAATGTATATATAACAACACAAAAGCATTTCATAGACTTATTATCTGAAACGTCATGCAATGCATATTCTAATAGGTTGCATTTAAATTGTTCTTCTTGTAGCAAACCTCTGAATGTTTTGTGACATGTAATTTAAAAGTTAGTTTATTTAACAAAATACATTAAAATGTTTTCCATAGTTTATAATATTATTTATGAATGAATTCTCATAAAATTGTCATATCATATTACAATAGCTACATAGCTACATACATGCCACTGGATTATATCGTTTTGACATTTAAAATTAATGCATATTGAAAGGGAGAATTCGTAAGTCTCATTTAATTTGTTTTTCAAATGTGATGATTACTATTTCATTATTAATAAAAAATTGTTAAATCGTAACAATCATTGTTTTTATTATTAACCTATTATTCAACAAATGCAGCTACCAACAGCATTAACAGAAAGAAAATTGAACAGATCAATACCATGCCTACATAAAACATACTTTTTCAAAGGCAGTAGTAGTAATGCAAAGCAAAGAAGCTCAAGAAAGAGGTTTTTTTCACTTGTGGTGTTGAAGACCCATAAACAATGCGAAGTCACCTCAACGTTATTCCTAAATAAAAAAGAAATAAGAAGATTCGGCAAACATGCTAACGGATTACCGGTTGGTAAGCAATCAGCGCCGTACATGGCACTCGTAGCCCCAAAGAAGTTACTACAAGGGCGTTGCCGACCTCTTGTGGGATATAATGTATGTAATACGCCAAAGAAGGGGCCTACGTTGACCAATTACAGTAGTTTTAAAATACAAAATAATAACAAGACATTTATTAGAGAAATAATCACTTAAAACATCAAGCCATGAGAGATTCGACATACTTATTATTAGATTGTAACAATTCTTGCTTTAGTTTTGCTATTTCTTTCACCATAACGTCATTTGAAGATGTTTCTTCTTGTACTTGCTTACATTTACGCAAGAAGTCAACGATTAATTTCTGTCCCTCCTTCGTTTCTGTCGATTTCACAGCTGCTTCGACGTCGAACAAGTTGATTTCTAGCTGCGCTTGTTTAGTTTCGGCATACTGAAAAAACGACGATTTTTAAAGTTAGGTTAGAATAAGAAAAGTTTATATGATAACGCAAAAGCTAGCTTTTGCCCGCGGCTTCGCTCGCGTTGTGAAAAATTACTATTAATTAGGTATTGTTTTGCAGCTTTACTTTTGTTTAGCGTGTGTTGAAATTAAGACTTCATCTTCATCAATCTTTAATTTCAGCTCAATCGGTCGATAATCTAAGAACATTTATACAAACTTTCATCCCCTATTTTATCCCCTTAGAGGTGGAATTTATCAAAATCTTTTCTAAGGTGTAGGCATAACGTTTAACATAGGTGCACATCGTAGGCGTTACAGTAGTTTTATGCATGCAAGGTCTCAGCCCGATCGGTTTAAAACTGACAGTTTCTTATAAACTTACATCCCCTTTTTTATCCCCTTGGGGATAAAATTAATCTAAATCCTTTCTTAGCGGATGCTTATGTCATAACATCTACCTGCATGCCAAATTTCAGTCCGATCCATTCAGTAGTTTGGGCTATGTTGATAGATAACTACATCAGTCACCTTTTTTATATATTTAGATTGACAGACTACTATTCTATTTTGACGTTTCAAAAGTACCTAATTATGGTTTAGTTGGAATAAATGATTTTATTTTGACTTTATACGTGGCATAATGGGATACAAATACAAAATATGAATTTAATTCATTTCAAATCTAAAACAGTAAAAAACACACATAGCTGGTTTTTATGACAAAGGCTACCAACATTAATATTAAAGCAAAAAATATAAATAGAATATCTAATATCAGACCTCAATTATAGAGTCGGGCAGATCAGCAAGTTTGGCGACGTGTAATCCTAACGAGTGTAACGCAGGGCCAGGAGCGATGCGATGCAGTAACAGAAGCTGTCCATTGAGGACGGACGCCTCTGCGTGTGAGTTTACGATGACTCCAGGGTGGGAACTAGCCAGGCGTGTTAGCTCTTGATAATGTGTCGCGAACAAACAGAAACATTGGCTCTTTGTTGCTAATTCTCTGTAAATATATGAACATTTCTATTTTAGGTAAATTGTATAGTATAGAATATTTTTCAGCAGCGCTCTGGACCAGTTCGACCAAAATGAGACAACCGGCATGGAACAAGGTAGAATGATGGCTCATTCTACCTCGCCGTCTTCAATTTCCATGCAGCCGGCATGGTTATGACAATGGATGACGCTGACTGCTTACGGATGCTCATCAACTCGTTTGAAGCCTTCATAAAAAATAGAGTACCTAAAGTATGGAATATGAGAAAATTTCAGAGATTGCTTGGTAGTTTAAGATACAATAAGTCCACATTGGTCTTATAAGTAGACATTTAGCATCTTAGTTATACCATAGTAAATAAAGTATATGTACAATAGATTTGAGAAGGCCTTTGTGACAATGCAGCCTATAATATTAAATAATTTAGTAGGTACTTACTCAGCAATAGCCCACGCTATTCCACATCCCTCGTACGTTGAAGTACCTCGTCCCAATTCGTCTATTAAGACGAGCGAATCTGCAGTTGCGGTCTGAAAAAGTATTATCACATTTTAGTATCAAGTGTTGCCATATAATAATTAATTAAAGTTAAATCAATCATTTTTGGCACTACTGAAAGTAATATGCTGTAGTATTCGTACAAGTACAAATGAAACGCATGTGTGATGCCTAAAATATTTATGTTATTATTTTTTCTTTTATTTTTTTGTACAAACACCCATAACAACAACGTGTGGATCACACAAAGTGTTGTGTGACGAAATCTGGCAAAAAATGAGATTTCTATTGATTTATGCACGGACTAAGGTCAGGTAAAGGTGCTTGCACTTTACCAATGCGAAAATATGTAAAAATTCTTTCAAGAATCTGTCTTGAATTACTTTAGTATCTATGCTACAAATTAATAAGTCAAAGAACCTTTGACCTACAAATGTAAACACATTAACATTGGTAAAGTGCAACCGCACTTTTGACCCTCACTGTATCTACTCTGTGAAGGTAAAAAAATATGACATAAAAATGGCATACTGACCCGTAGTATAGCGGCTGTATCGATCATCTCCCGCATGAAGGTACTATGGCCCTGTCCTTCTGCGTCGCTGGCGCCGATACGTGCAGCCAGTGCGCGTAGTCGCGGTATGACAGCTCGTGCGGCGGGTACGGGACACCCAGCGTGCGCTAGTACGCAGGCCACGCCGCACGACCGCATCCACGTCGACTTACCTCCCATGTTGGCGCCCGTCACTATGTGCAGTATGCCTACACCTGCCATATTGTTATACACAGGTCAGTGAATAAGTTCCCTTACAGTCATTGTTGTCTGCACGTATGGCGACATAGAATAGCTATCTACATGAACAGATATGTTAATGTACTAGTCTATTAACTAGACTGCGCCAACCTTGCAGTCTAGTCTGAACTGGCTGCCACGCAACGTGTCCCGGGTTCGATTCCCACACGGAACACGGAAAACACTCCAAACGGGTAGGACAAAATCTTGGTGTGGGGAAACAATTAAAATATTAAACAAAACATACAAACCTCTTTTAAAAACGACATCGTTGGGTATATAAGACACGCCTTCAGCCAGCTCTAGACAAGGATGGCGCAACTCTTCCAGAACCATTTCATTGTTCTCCTCAGTGATGGTAGGACGGATGTACGGTATGGGTGCGCTAGAAGAAGCCACCGCGAACGATACTAACACGTCCAGACGAGACAAAATGTGAGATAGGCAGAATAGACATTCTGAATATCCAGCTGAAACATATAAAAAAATAATAAGTTCTACTGACTAGATATGTTTTTATGTATTTTGTTTAAAAAACACAACCGAATTGTATATTATTTGTATAATAATTAATAAACGTACTCACGAAAGCTCTTCGAGGATGATCATGAGTTCAGTCGTGGGTTGAATCTGGTCGAACATCCTCAAACAGATTTCGTGAGTAAACCATTTACATTTTTTTAACTAGTAACTCACTATAGTAACAAAATATAGCAACTGAATACCCTTAGGGTCTCCTGAACATAAATATGTTTCCCCCAGAACATGGATAGATAAACCTAATAATGTTTGTAGCCTGATTTTAGCCACTTGCTATGTTTATCACCGAGTTTATTGGCGTGTCAAGAGAACTATGTCCGCAAGCTAACGTGAATGGACCTGTTAGGGTGATAAGGTCGTAATTCGTATGCGACTGTTTTGAATAAAACAACGTGCGTTCTATACAAAGGTGTATTGGACACTAACTTAAACTAAACTTAAACTATTGAATGAGCGGTGTCGCCGTGCTACGTACAGGGTACATCTAAATTGCTGATTGAATGAACATACCGTCCACCAAAAGGGCTTTAAGGCCTTTTCAAAATAATAAAACTTAAATCAATTAAAACATGACATAGTTGACTTAAAACAAACTTAATTTTTAGTAATTGAAACAAAACAAATTCTTACTTAACTGGATACATAACATATTAAAAATTAATCTTTAGTATAAATCGGTAAAGCACATAAGTTTGATACTGATCTCCGAGACAGTTTGCCATTGTAGCGCACTGTATAAACTCTGGTTATTCCATCATGTCCGGGGTGTTTTTCCATAATTCGTGCCAACGCCCACTTGCTAGGTGGCATGTTTTCGCCTTTGAGAAGCACGATGTCGCCGACTTCGAACTCTGTTGCTCTCTTCAGCCATTTAGGTCTTTGGTTCAGTCGTGACAAGTACTCTGTTTGCCAGCGTTTCCAAAATCCTTGAACAAGTCTTTGGGTGTGTTGCCATCGGGATAATAGGTTTACGTTAGCAGTAATAAAGTTGCGATCGGGTACGGTAATTAGAGGCTCACCGACAAGAAAATGTCCTGGTGTAAGTACTTGTATATCTTCTATGAGATCAACATCTGTATTTATCGGGGTTAATGGGCGAGAATTAAGGCAGGCTTCAATTTGTGTAAGCACTGTAGTAAACTCTTCAAATGTTAAATTCCTAGTCAGTGTTTTTCGAAGATGTTGTTTGACGGACTTGACTCCAGCCTCCCAAAGTCCTCCAAAATTTGGGCTATATGGTGGTGTGAACCGCCATTGTGTTCCATCGTTAGCCAGTTGATCAGCTATTAAGCCGGGTAGTTCAAATCCTGCTTCCTTCCACATTGCATGTAATTCTTTGTTTGCTGCCACAAAATTAGTACCGTTATCGCTCCAGAGCTCATTACATCTTCCTCTTCTAGCGACGAAACGTTTAAATGCCGCGATGAACGCTTCGGACGTCAGATCGCTCACAAGTTCCAAGTGTATCGATTTTACGGCCATACATATGAAGATGCAGATGTATGCCTTGCTGGTTTTAGATCCTCTTCCTTTCGAGTTCAACACGTATACAGGGCCAGCAAAGTCCACTCCACTTCGAGAAAAGGGACGCGAGAGGGTCACCCGACACTCAGGTAAGTCACCCATCATTTGTTTGTGGCTTGCAGCTCGCTGCCGCGCGCAGGTAAGACATTCATGTATGTGTTTTTTCACCAGTCTTTTGCAGCCAACAATCCAGTATCTGCTCATCAGGTAAGTGATCATGATGTTTATTCCGCCATGCATTGTTTTCAGGTGTGCATCAGCGACTACTAGTGACACTAAGCCGTTTCTCTTGCCTAGTATCACGGGATGTCTCAGGTTCTCGTCAGCGTCTGCGTTTCTCAGTCTTCCGCCCACCCTAAGAATATTGTACTTGTCTACGAATGGGTTTAGTGACTTCAAAATGCTTGTGGTTTTTGCGCTTCTCCTTTCTTTTATTCTTCTTATTTCATCTGAAAATTCGTCCTGTTGGGTGAATGTTATGCAAACGTCTAAGGCGTTTTGTATCTCCTCTGTTGTCATTTCTTGTCCCAATTTGTTGGGGTCTGTCTTCATTTTCAAAAATCTCTTGCAATATGCTATCACTCTAAGCAGTTCTGTAAGTGAATTGTATTCTTCAAATTTTATAAATTTCTCTTCTTCATTGACATTGACGTGGGACTGTATGATCTTCTTGCTTTCCAAATCTGTGGTTGATTTTGACGGTCTCGTATATTCAATGTTTTCGCTTGCAAGCCAAGTAGGTCCTCTCCACCATAATGTCTCATGTTGTAGTTTTGCTAAAGATGATCCTCTTGAAGCTATATCGGCTGGATTATGTGCTGACTGAACATGGAACCAGTGTGCGCTGCTTGTTTGCTCTAATATTTCAACCACACGATTCGCAACAAATGGTTTCCATCGATTGGGTTCTCCAAAGAGCCATGCGAGGACTATAGTTGAGTCAGTCCATGCATATACATTACTTGACGGAATCCTCATAGCTTGACTCACGTTGGCTAGTAATTTGGCTAGTAGTGCTGCTCCGCTAAGTTCAAGACGTGGTAGTGAAATGGTCTTCACAGGAGCGACCTTCGTTTTTGAGGCGATGAGGTTTGTTTTTATCTCGCCATCTGTAGTTCGTACTCGACAATATACCACAGCTGCGTATGCCTTTTCAGATGCATCGCAGAATCCATGTAATGTTATTCGTTCTTTTTCAGTGCTAATTGTGTCCAGCCAACGTCTGATTCGTATTTCTGTTACATTTTCTAAATCTCTTCTTATACATTTCCATTCGTCTCTCAGTTCGCTGCTGATTTCTTGATCCCATCCAAGTCCTTCTAACCATAATCTTTGCACAAGAATTTTTGCTGTTACAATCACTGGTGATATCCATCCAAGTGGATCAAATAACTTCTGCAAATCTGATAGAATTGTTCTTTTTGTAATATTTGACGTTGTAGGTTCTAGTTGTAGTTGATAATTGAACTCGTCTCTTCCAAGATTCCATGATAGACCAAGTGCCTTGATGGTGCCATCTAGTTTAAGGTCTAGATTAGCTTTTGTAGTTATTCTGTTGGCGTCTAAAGATTTGAGAAAATCTGTATCGTTCGATGCCCATTTCTGAAGTTCGAAGCCTCCTCGTCTCAGAATAGTTATGATTTGCCTACTAACACGGATTGCTTGTTCTGTTGTATCGCAACCTGACGTCAGGTCATCCACGTAGAAATCTTCGCGAATAATTTTGGCTGCTTCAGGATATTGCTCGCCTTCATCTTCTGATAGTTTAAGTAAAGTTTTGACGGCGAGGTACGGCGCAGATGCTGTGCCAAACGTTACTGTTTTTAGTCTGTAATCCTTGACTTCATGTGGTGGACAGCTTGGCTTATTGTTAGATTTCTTACTGCCACGCCACAGTATTCTGTGGTAGTCTGTATCTTCCTGATCCAAGAGTACCATTCTATACATCTTGATGACGTCACTTGCAAAGCATACCTTGTGCATGCGCCATCTCATGATCACACTTCGCATATCTTCTTGCAGTACTGGGCCAGTCATGAGCTCGTCGTTCAAAGACACGCCATTGTCACCTTTGCACGACGCATCAAACACAACTCGGATTTTTGTTGTCTCTTTATCTCTACGGACTACGGCATGATGTGGTAGATAGACACACCGATTGTCTATTTCTTTAGCAGGCACTTCTACCATGTGCCCCAGTGCTAAGTATTCTTCTAGAACTTTGTCGTATTCTTCTCTTAATTCAGGTGTTTTTTGTAGTCTTCTTTCTTGCTGAATCAGGCGTTTCATTGCGATTTCCCTTGTATTCCCATTTGGTGATTGGAGGTTATTGATGCGAAATGGGAGTTTCACGATATATTGACCATTGCTGTTTCTTTTGTAGGTCTCTTCATAAAAACTTTCACATAGTTTTTCTTCTTTGGTCTGTTTTCTGTTTGATTCTGGTTCTATTTCCCAGAGTGTTTTCAATAATTCTTCTCCTATGATCTGATGATGCATTACCAGTACAGACTCTGTTTGTGGTGTATCTTCAATCTTTCCGAATAAAATCCAGCCGAGGGTTGTTTTATGAGCACACGGTGACCCTGGCGGACCTTTGATTAGTTGGTTCTGTACAATTTGTGCATAAACATCGACACCCAGAAGCAGATCGATAGAACCTGGCTGGTAGAAGTTTGGATCAGCCAGAACTAGCCCTTCTAAGTGAGGCCAATGTTTGTTTGTATTTATTGTGCGGGACGGTATTTTAGTAGTCAGCGGTTTTGACATGACATATGTTCTTACCTTCAAACTGAATGCCTCAATTCTTGATTCGATACTGATCTGAACTACTTGTTTAATGTCTTGTTTTGTTGATCCCACACCGACGACTGTACCCTTGGTAGGATACCGCTTGGCCGTGAGTTGTTGTACAGCTCGCTCGCTTATAAAACTCGCTTGTGAGCCTTGGTCAATTAAAGCTCGCAGTGTCGTTGTATAGTTGTCTTCACTTCTCACTTTTACGATTGCAGTTGCTAGTAATGCAGTACTTTGATTACTCGAAACGTGTGACGTCAACAATGTAATATCTTCTTCTTCTTCTTTAGTCTTCTCCACGTTTGTATGTAAAGCCACTTCGGGTTGATTTGATTGTCTGTTCTCAGTGTTGCCCGTCGTGTTCCCATTTATATCGCCTTCTTTATTTTCGTGAAGTAATGTATGATGACGTCTTTTGCATATTCTACAGCTTGTTGGTATGCGACAATGTCTCACAGAGTGTCCGGGTGCAAGACAGTTGAAGCACAAATTGTTGTTTTTGATAAACTCACTTCTTTGTGATGGTGTCTGTTTTCCAAAGTCCTTACAGTGGCTAAGTGTGTGGGTTTCTTTACACATTTGACATACTTTATTATTATCCATCTTGGTTGCGGCGTGAAATGACTTTTCTCGAACATGCTCAGTACTTGTCTTTTGTTTTGTTGGTTCTGTAAGTTCCAACGTACGAAATCGGCATTCCAGAAATTTACGAAACACGTCCAGTGAAGGTAAGCTTTCAGGTTCTTGACAATTGCTGCTCACATAATTTTCCCAATCTTTGTGGGTTTCACTGTCCAGCTTTTGCACTATAACGAATATTATCAAAGGGTCCCAGTTATCAGTTTGCACGTTCATATTTTGAAATTGGTGTAAACATTCAAATGTTGTATCCAGTAACTTCTTTATAGAACTAGAATTTCCCACGGTGATTTTCTTAAGAGAGAAGAATCTTTTCATAATTGCGTCGACATTAATGCGTTTGTTCCCATACCTTCTTTTAAGAATATTCCATGCTTCTTCGTAGTTCGTATCTGACACTTGTATGTGTTTTAATAACGACGAGGCTTCTCCACTAAGACTTGTTTTCAAATAATGCAGTTTTTGTACATTACTTAACGCCGCGTTTTTATGTACAAGTGTGTTAAATAAATCATGAAACGATAACCACTCTTCATATTGTCCGCTATACGTAGGTAGTTGTATTTTCGGCAAAACCACTCGTGTTTGTTGAACATCACTAGGTATTGGCGATGAATCACTATATTTAACTGGTTGATTTACTAATAAATCCTTCAAGTCAGTAATCAAACTTAAATACAATTCTTCATGTTCAAAGTATTCTTCATTAACTATGTAGGGTATCTTATCACGTTTCTCCTTCGGTACGTTGCGTATTAAGTCACTATAAGTTTGTTTATATTCACTCCAGTAATCTTCTACACATTTCAAACGAGTTTCAACGTAATTTCGTGTTAATCTTGCCTTCGGACTCTTCTTAAGGTTGATTTGTGTCTTCTTCAACGTACTTGCAATGTTTTCCACAATATTTAAAGCTTTTTCAGTTTCTGTAGCCATTGTTCGCAGGTTAAAACTTTGATTGTAGCAAACGAATACGAAATAAATTTGTTATGAATGTAATTAGATCTTCCACTAAACAAGTCGAACACTCAGGTCGTCTTATCGCTTCGATCTCTTTGTTCTCGGGCGGCCGTCCGGGCGCTGGTATCTGGCTCGATTTTGGACCATATGTTAGGGTGATAAGGTCGTAATTCGTATGCGACTGTTTTGAATAAAACAACGTGCGTTCTATACAAAGGTGTATTGGACACTAACTTAAACTAAACTTAAACTATTGAATGAGCGGTGTCGCCGTGCTACGTACAGGGTACATCTAAATTGCTGATTGAATGAACAGGACCTATGATTATAATGAAAGTCATAATTATATTGTGCTCGCCGATCTAAATATATTTATGTTCGTTGTGTGAGTGAGGTTAGCGGAGGTTTAAACCCTCATCTAAATCCCTCATCCCAGAAACGCCAGCAGCGCACTTACGACTCTGTTGAGTTGGTTGCTTACCAACAGAAAATCCGTCAGATCGCATGTCGCCTTGTCCCATAATATAAAATTAGTACCGACCTGCTATGCCCACAATTTCAGCGACTACTTTATCTTGTTCCTTCTCGTACATAGACTTAGTCGTAGTATATTCATCTGTTATATTCTCCAATGTTTTAGTTTTGAATCTGACGCCTCCTTTCACTGCATCTATGATTGTATACTTTTTGTTTCCCCGTAATGACTGCTCTTCTTTTAATGTTACTCTGAAAATATGTTTTGATAATTATTACATTAATTGGTACTACTAAAAACCTTTAAGCGCAATCTTTTATCGATTTAGGAAAGTACCGACCAGTTTGGCCTTATAATTTTATTTTGTTGTTTTTCCAAGTTATATGGTGTTGATTGCCTCCTATTGTAGCCTTTTTGGATTTGAATTTTGGTACTTTTCAAGTTTCTGGTGGATAGCAGCTTTACTTTTTGTATGTGTGCCATTGCCTATAACACCTTCATAACAGAAACCTTACCTAAAACAGAATGCATGTTGGGGATTGCTCTCCAACTTAATAGTTTTCCCAGCATCTAGACCCAAATCCCTAGCAGCTTTGTTCAGTTCCTTTTCAGCTGACGTTTGCATTTGTTCCAGCTGTTCATATAGGCTTTGAAGCTGTTCGTCGAACGACGGTTTTACGAGGAAATCGCCTTGAAATAATAAAAGACTTATATTTATCATTTAGAAGAAATAGTGTGCGTACAGGGATCACCCTGTTATCACTTACGAAAGGTTAATGCGTGTCATATTGTAAAAGGATGGTTTGGGATTTTTGTAAACTTTTGACCCTCAAATATTATCTTTTATGTCGCCCAGAGATTCAGGCACCCGCTTCTCATGCATGAGGGTGCCGGTTCGAAACCTGACAAGTACTAATGTTACTTTTTCGAAATATATTTACTTTTTAAGTTTATTTTGACACAACTAACAAACGGTGAGGGAAAAACATCGTGAGGAAGGGCTTATAATTTCTATGTATCAGTTTGAAGTTGCCACAATCCGCCTTCAGCAAGTGTGGTTAATGCTTAAAACTCCCCCTGTGGGAGAAGCCCTTTGATCTGTAGTGGGAAAATTATAGGCTGACGATGAAAATCACTTTCGTAGATGTGTACGTATAAACTGGTGAAAAGTAGCCACGCAACTTGGTTCAAAAATTTCACATTACATTTCCTTTATTTGCGAATATTCAAAAAGATTAGCTATTAGTATTCAATCTGTCATGCGTATTTTGTTGTCAACATAAATTAAAACTTACATTGACGTGTTATTTCTGTTAATTACAGTTTGAAGTAAACAATTCTCACAAGCTGCACAGCTTAAACAATAAGTTGATAATTTTAACATATTATCTCATGCCGATAACAAGGTCATTTAAAAATAACATACATACATACTTTATTTACGACTACCTCCTTAATTAATCAGCCGTAACTATAGTTGACACTCAAGAAGAGGGTAACAGAATATAAATGTCTTTTTCTGGTAATAATTTTTGATATGGTAATATTTTTATCATTTACCGCATGGCAACTTTTATCATAGAACAAAGGTGTACTTATTAGGGTGTTATTGTTTTATTAATTATTATGATCTTATTGTTATCTTATATGCTTAAAAGGGCGAGATACGTAGTATCACTACACATTTCTAACATTTTTTATTTGAATTTGTTGTGTCTCACCTCTATCAACTGCTTCCATGTCAACGGTAGTTTCGATCATCTCTAAAAACTTGCCGAGATCTTCATTCAGTTCTGATATGGGTTCCGTGATAGATGAATGTACCGTCGCATTCTCCGCCTCAGCTAGACAGCGTAGCAACGACGGTAGCCTTTTGATGGCCTGAAATTTTACATATAGCATGTGTCAACGAAAGAATTTAAAAAGCCGTCGTAATTAGTACGACAGGTCAGCGGAATAATTAACCATGGCCTCAGTCTAGAGAAGGAGAAGGAAAGGGACGGGACGGGGGCGTTGGTCAGTAAGAGTCTCTTTCGCCATACCCTAGGCGAGAGAAGTTAGTCTCTCAAAAAAGTACGAAGGTCAGTTTTTTTATTTTATATATATGTTAATAACCGGGTAAAAAATTAATAATTTAACCACAAATAGTTAACATTTATTACGCAAATGACTGATGACGTTTACTAGCTAAAAACTATACCTGATATATTCTGTAGCAGTCTTGAAGATTCGCCTTCTTCCTGGTAAGTCTCCTAACCAACGCTTGAAGGTCAGGTATCCTCCTAAGGTGGTCTTCGTGTAGCTGTAACCGAAGCTGGGAGTTGGTCATCAACAACTGCACGATGTCCAGACGTTCGTTGATCAAGTTGATGTCGCGGAGAGGTTGTCGAAGCCATTGGGCTAAAAGACTGACACAAAATGAAGCTATGTATTATAGGCATTTTTTGTTAATAAATTTTTTGGAAGTAAATAATAGTTGGTGGTTGGAGTAAATCTTATTTTTTTTTACCGCTTTGGTCAATGGACAGTAAATATTTTAAATGTCGCTTAGTAAACAATAACTCTCAAAAGCTAGCGTTCAACTAGAGAGGATGTTGTTGTTTTTGAGGATGATGTCCATCTTCAAAAGTGGACGAAAACGAAATCGAAAAATAATAATTAAGTACTAAGTACTAACGAATATTGAACATCAAATCTCTTTGGTAGAAATTAATTAATCAGTCAGGTATATCAATTCAAAAATTCAAAATAAAGCCTTTTCCCGCTATCTCCAAATAAGATCCTGCAGTAGACATTTTGCAGTTAGAAGGAAATTGGAAGGCTGGTCTCTAGAAGCTTATTTTACAAGGTAGCTTTTGTGTGGGGTGTGGTCGTCAAACGAGCAGACGGATCACTTGATGGTCAGTATTGGCGCCCTGCCCATAATACACACGCAATATCCGAGGAGTTGCATGCATTGCCGGCCCATTGACAATTTATTAAAAAAACGTTACCAAACACTATGATTTTCTCTGCGTTTACAAACATACAACAATTTGTGGATCACAAAGTTTTGTTCCGTGCGGGAATCGAACCCGCGACACGTTGCACGGCAGCCAGTTGCCCAACCGCTGCGCCAGCCGTGCAGTCAAGTAAAGAATTAATTTCATCTAGGTACACGGTAGTTGTCGGTAGAGTGGTATCGTGTTATCTTTTCGGTCAAACCGACCCAATTGTGGCTAATTCGTGAAAAAGTAAACGTTTAAGTCCCCATGTATTATTTATTGATTACATTTGGTCAATTCGCAAAGACAGACATTTTTCAGCTTGGATGTGTCAACTGTGTGACCGGTTGATCAAGGTACCTTTGATAAGTCAACAAAAACCACACTTAATTAATCACTACGGAATATTATGAGTGGTCAGGTAACCAGCAGTGACATATCAAGTATGATGTCAGAATGACAAAATCACTTCTTACGAATATGAATCACTGTAACTTGTGTAAAATGGATGAATCACTATAAGAATAAGATCGTATTGTCTGCCTGTAAACTAGAGGTGTAAAATATAGGAGACCCATACTTCGGCTCGTATAGACCGGCTCGACCGGAGCAATACAACGGCCCCATACAAAACCAGCGTGAAACAATCAAAGAGTTTTGTTTCACTTTGAGACCATTCCCAAACCCTCAATCATCAAATGCGTAATCCCTAAAAGGGCGGTAACGCACTCGTAAATCCTATGGTGTTGCAGGTCATTGGCGGCGCCGATTGCTTACCATCAGGTAAACGATCAGCTCAGTTGCCGCCCTTTAACACAAAAAATATTCATGATATGTTAAAAAGTTTGTTGCATCTATTTTGCGGGCTTTTTTTACAAAGAAAATGTTTCAACTACTCACTACTAAAACATACTAAGTAAGTATTAGCAAGGATGGAACGGTCGTTAAACTGAATTTCCGCTTAGCTTCCGCCAGCGGCTTCGCCCGCGTGCTGTATTGATAAAGAGCAGCCTATAGAACAAAATCGAAGTATACATAAAATTTGTTATTAATTGTCTCATTTTTATGGTTATATCTCTAATGGGTAAATACCCTATTACTTACTAAGTCTCCGCTATCCGTCCGTGCATAGATCCGATAGAATGGTACGGATCAAACCAATAAGTAAGTATCAAAAAAAAAAACATAAATCCTGTTATATTATATTTTATACCGCGTCGCGTCGAGCGCTGCAACAGTTACACAAAAATAATCTTTATAGCATGATTCAGTGTTTACGTGTGATGGTGCGATGGCTTATTATCCCGAACTGCTAAGCTATCAGGAGTTACACGTGCTATTGTAAAACAATTTTTTTAGATAATTTTATTTAAGAGGTAAGATTTGTAAGTTTGTATGTAGGAGTTAATCTTTGGAACCGCTGGTCGGATTGCCAAAATTCTTTCACTGATAGATAGCTACAATGTACCTGAGTGCTATTGTAGAATATTGCTGTCATACATCATTTCTATGTAACTTTAACCAATAAGGCTACACACGCGACGGAAACATAAAAAAGGCAGTAATTGCTCCCGTTTTCATAACATTTCCCTTCACTGATCTGCTTCTATTATTTGTAGCGTGATGAAAAGTATCCTATAACCTTCCCAATAGTATAAAGAATAATTGTACCAAGTTTTATTAAAATCCGTCGTGTAGTTTAGTTTCTATAAGGAATATACATACAGATAGACAGACAAACATTTTACTGATTGCATTTTTGGCATCAGTATCGATCACTATTATATATTATTGGTAGTTATTTTGAAAATATATTTAATGTACAGAATTGACCTCTCTACAGATTTATTATAAGTATAGATTAAGTAGTATACATACCGCTTGCCCTGCTGAGTGCGACATTTGTCTAAAAGGCCGTAAAGACTTCTTGAAGGAGCGTTCGACGTGTCTCCAAGTTCAGGAAACACGTTAAGGGCGGACAACGCTGCGGAATCCAAATGTAGGAAGCAATCAGCTTGAATAGTGGACAAATGAAACCTGAAATAGACAATTTATGACATTTATATTGGTGTTTTATAGCTACATGCATATAGTACCGTTTTGTAAAAAATATAATGTCTTTAAGCAATTCAGATCTCTTAATAGAGGTCAGAAATGTCTTTGATATGTATGTATCGGACGAATTAATAAAGGCACTTAGTTGACAACAGTCTTGTGAATGTTTCATCTTTACATTTACAAAATACTTTATGCAGATTATACTAACTGCTTCAATAAAAAAATATTACAGATTTAAATTACCTCGCAAAATTAGTACTATCGTTTAACAACGCAGAATACTTGATAGCGGCAGCTAAACAGGTCATAGCGACCTCTTTCCTAGTTTCAGAGAAAGCATTAGCATCTTGTTGTTGATTCTCCTTAAACTTGAGCAACCGATTCAAGTCCTGAACAAGACCCTCCGTGGAAAATTCAGCCTTCTTCAATTTTGTTAAAGTTACATTTGTTCTTTCCATTACTTTTTTCAAAGCTTTGTACTGTAAGGTTATAAGGAAGATGATAATATAATAGGTATAGTTCAATTGGATTGCTCGTTAGTTCATCTAACAATCAATAACGCAAATATAGGCTTAAAGAGGCTTAATATTGAATTCAGATTCTGTCATTTTATCGCCGAAATAGATTTATGACAAAAAAACAGAATTTTAATTTAAATATCTGCCCATCCCCTTCGGAACATAAGTTTATTAAATACTTAAAGCTAAAACAACAAATAAAAATGAAACAAGCAGTTTCCTTCATTCAGATAACAGTTATTATGCGTACTTACATCATCGTGCTCACTAATGGGCACCAAACATTCGGAAGGCGCCATTTGTACTGTGATAGTTTCTAACTCCGTAAGCAAGTCGTCATCAGTGAACTCGGTCACAGACATTTGGTAATCACCGGCTGTGATGCATGCCACGCCTAGAAGACGACCCTATAGTACACGTGAAAAAAAGATGAATATAATAAGGAAGGAGTTATTAAGTGTGGGTGAGCCAAGCTTCGGCTCGACTGAAGACGTGCAAAAACCACAATGTTGTTTCGCCGTGTGAGTGAGGTTACCGGAGTTCCAATTCCTACCCCATTTACCATCTCATCCCAATCCTTAAATATCAGAAAACCTTATACCCAAAACCCACCCACACCAAAGGCGTTACACACTCGTAACCTTTTGTGTGCCTTTGGTGTTGTCATAAAAAAGATGCAGTTTTTTAGAACATAATATTCTTCAGATTATTATGCCCAGCTCTATATTAAGATAATGGATTTCGATGTTGATTTTTTTGATAAAAAAATTTAATTTCAATTCTTGATTATAGTCAAACTCAGTGACTTTGAATACCTACATATAATATCAGGTACCTTAGGTACAAAATTTCAGATATTTTTTATTATGGTGTTCTAGAACAAAATTACAAGAACAAAAATAACTAGAAAAATAAGAACTAGGCTTGTCTATATTTTAGGACTAGCCCAGTTAAATTGTAACTGGAACGAAGGGTCAGAAGCGCATGATACGATAAGGCAACAAAGTTATCAAGACGAGTCCGAAACATGTATGCAATGCGGATATTATTAAATGTTATACATATATTACTTTGGTTACTGCATCTGTCTTTATATGAACTGCCATCAAACATGGTGTCGTTTCATCCGAAGCTCCCAATCCTTCGCCGAGGATTTCTTCCAGTTGAGAAAGGTAACCAGGCGAGCCTTTGTATTTCAACGACCAGTCGCTTCCTCTCACAGAACCCTCCGCGACGTATATTTCAACTCTATAACGCCTCACCTGAGAAATGAAATTATTATTGGAGTCAAACTACCTATTGAGCGTAAAACTATCAAGTTTTATTAATTAGTATTTGGTTTATAACATATTTACTAGATACATAGGTTCAGTTCGTAATCCAATTATAAGTAATATGTGATTGTTGGAAGACCTACTAGGACCTTATGGGATTTAAATTCAGTTCAGGTGAATTGCCTTTGGAATGTTTTTTTTTCGTTTTATAAACAATAAATTAGAACTACAAGTTTCTATGTTACTACATGCATTAACAAAGTTAAGGCAATAAGCATAGATTAGGGATTAGATGGTTCATTAGTTTAAGTGTTTTCTATATTATCAATATTAACCTTGTGTAAAATCATTAAAACAATTAGTACAATTAAAACGTGCTTTAGATCATCCGTGTTTACTTGCAACAAGAGAACGACTGATAAACGTGAGATAGCTCTGATAAAGTTTAAGGTCACATGTCAATACGCGCTTTACGTAGCTAATACAAACTCGTGTTTAGCTGTTTTGGTCTTTCAGATGTATCATTCATTATACTTTTCATGTGAAAATTAATATTAAAATATGTTCCTTATTAACGAAACCTGCCCCTGTTATATAATTAGTTGAGCAAATATAATAAGCTTTTATATTCCTATCAAATTTTTGAAGAAGTTTCAATTTTCTAAAACGAGTGTATTAAGTTTTGTTTTCGTCCATGAAATAATTAAATAACTAAAAGTACACAATAGCCTTAGCTAGGTGTAAAAATATCAATACAACATTGACCTTATCTTTGACGTATCAATCGTTGTACGCGACACACAGTTCAATGTTCTTCTATATCTCTCAAGTCTCAAGCATTTGACACTGAACACTTCTATGCATAACAAACGGTTATAATTATTTTTAGTTATCAAGTATGTGTTTGTACTTACCAGAAGTAACTTTTTTATCAATATTTCGAAGTTTCCTTTTGACAGTACCAGATAGTCAAGGCGATTGGGTTCAATGCCCATCTTCTTTATATTCGCTACGGTGGAAAAAACTTCCCTCGCAGCAGTTGTTGCGTCAGCTCCATGAACGCTGTAGTAATCATTGCGGTCAAAAATCCTTACTGTTGTAGCTGGTTTCTAGAAAATGATAAATCCTTTTAGAATCATTCAACTGTTGTTAACTATTACAAAAAGTTTTGAATAAATTTTGATTGATTTCATGTATGGGTAAATACAGGATAATGTACTATCGCTTTATTACGTCTTCTGGCAAGTCATGCGGTCACTGAGATGGTTCATGGCTATTCATAGAGGACATGATAATAGTTATTATTTTGTATCAATTATGGTTTTAACTAGAAACGCAAATTATATTATGAATTCTACCACTTGCTGTACGAATAAATGACTAGTAGAAGTTTAGTAGGTACGACAGCGAAATACAAATCATTATTGATTCCTGGTTCAGTCCAATTATTAGTTTTGACTATTCCTTTTAATTACTTTTTGGTTTTGCTATAACCAATTCTTAAGTTTAATTTATAACCTACAGATAATAAATAATACATAAGTATATGGAATTGTATAATGAATAATTTATATAGGAAAAAGAAAAAAAATACGAACAACACAAGAGAGTGCAAAATATTGTTGTTGATATAATTTATTGAGAGTTCGGCGTCCATCATCTTTGGTTGATATCCTACTTTTTATTAAGAGCAATGTCAACAATTAAACAACACTTATATGTACTTGCTACAATAGATGTTTTATTTTTGTAAACTCATTTAAGTTCTAATTATTATTCTTTGACTTGCTTTTACTACATCATCGTCAAACAAAACCTGCGTTTATTTATTAATAAATAAAAATGAAAGTCAGAAAATCTTCTTTGGTGAACAAAGAAGTTTAGTTTAATAGAAGAAGAACTTATTTGTAAGACGGTTTTCAAGTTACAGGCCTGTCCAGTAATTGCTTACTTGAGTTTATTATATTATAATCAAAACTCAGTGTTTTAACTTGAAATGCTTTAAAAAATAAGGATAAAATTATAAATAACATCAATAATAATTTGAGTTATTAGAACTTTTTGTATATTTTGTACAATGAATTCTACGAATTCATCATAAATATTCATATTACTTAGTTCATTCTGAGAGAAAGATAACATATGCAAAAGGTCATCAAACTAATCAGAAATAGCAATCATTTGTTTTGTTAAGTAAACCACATAATTTCTTTACTAGGTACTCTGAAGTAATCGTTTCGTAGATCACTGCTTTTTTGCGGGTCTGCCGTCGGCGAGCAAGGATATCTCACCACCCGACCAGAACCAGACCCGAGTGTGCGGCAGAGCGCTACTTTTCGAACGCGCCTCAAAGAGCAATGGACCCACCAAACATTAGGCATTAAGGTACCGCGGTCTTGGGTAGATCAGGAGAAGGAACGGGGCTTTACGTCAGCAAGAGTCTGACACTCCCTTTCGCCATAGCCTGGGCGAGAGAAGTCATTTGATGATTTTTCCCTTAACAAAAAAAACTTTTAAGCAAGGCAGTTGAACATATTTTTTATGGAATCGTTTCTGCGAGGGCGTGTCATTGGGCCATTAGATCACCACAGACAGGGCCCAATAGGGCCAATGATCAGCCGGGGTTGCGTGGCTGCGGGGGTGGGAGGGGGCAGCCCCGGGCCAGGAGCAGAAGGCGCGGTATGGTTTTTAGTCAGAAAGAGTCTGATACTCCCTCTCGCCCACTCAGGGCGGAAGACGAAATGTGATGATTTTACTCCTTTAAAGAAAGGGATAGGCTGGCAAAAAGGCATAGCAAGGACTAGGCGCAATCACAAAAAAATAAAACAAGTGAAAAAAATAGGACAAGTGTGTTGCAGGGGCATGGCTCTTCCACACTTAATTTCTTAAAATGATTAACTATTTATTGTATTATTATTTGATACTTTTACATTTATATCCCAGTAAAGGTGTAGAAACAAAGTCATTACATTGTATAAACTGTATTGCAATATTGTGTTACATTATGATAATGACCAGCTTTTAAAGCAAAATACACCTGTAAAAGAGTTGTCTTACTACAAACATATGAATGAAGTCATAGTACGGCTGAATCATAGAGGATACAAAACTATACATTGACAATCACCAATATAAATAAATAACTACTCAAGGTTTTGGATCCAAGATTTAGTTTATTTGCAAGTCCGCTTCTGAGAATAAAAGATCGCTCATGCTCCGGTCATGAGGTTATCTGGCTGGAGATAGAATATTAAAGCTCAATAAATTGGCGCGTCCCGATCAACCAATGTCAGTGTGCGACACGCAGTAGTCGCGGTGTGAAAATTACATTTAGTGTGTTGTGTCCTGAATTAAATTAAAATAAGAGGTAAGTTAAAATTATATTACAAAAATTATTGGGTAAATAATTGATTGAAAAGTTGAATCTGAAAATCATGTAGGTATTGTTATAAAGGTGTTTTTAAGTTTTATTTAACTCTTAGTGCTCACATAAACTAGGCAATGCAAATAATAAACATTCAGCTGTTATTGTATTATATTTCTCCCAAAAATATTAAGTAACTACATAGCTGATATTTATTTAAACTTTTTTTATAAGACATTGTTGTTATATGGCTTTTCCAAAAATAAAAAGAGGTAAACATAATCAAATACACTGATATATTTTACTATAAGACATTTTTCACACAACTTAGCGCAAGTTGTAAGCTTTCTTATTGTTAGGTACCACCTCTGTCTAATATCTGCTCGATTGTAAGGAAGTATTTAAACAAATACCAGTAGGAGTTGCATATTATTCTCAATCTATACTGTATATTTATTCAGGAGTACCTACATATTGTGAGTTTATTAAAAAATCGGTTATGCAAACGGGTAATATATAAACCAGACACCATAAATAAGACGCCATTTCAATTGTTAACATTTGACCTAAATAATTGAAGGTGGTGTGTGATGAGCTTAACGTAAGCTGTTGGATTTACATGACACTAGCTACTTTCGCGCGGTTTCACCCGCTGCTCAGCTCCATTGATCGTAGCGTGATGTTTTATAGCCTATAGCACTCAGGAAGATTGTAGTTATCCATCAGTGAAATAAATTTAGCAATCCGACCAGCGGTTCCAAACTTTACCCCCTACATACAAACTTACAAATTTTACCTCTTTATAATATTAGTATAGAATTATAGATCAGCCTGCTACGTTCATTACACAGTAATGATTACTATTATTTTCGTATAGATATAAAACCTTCTTATTATAGTAAAGTTACAATCCTAAAATATGCAATCAGTTTTTTTTTCAACAACTAGGTATTCACACTTTTTAATACTCTTTTCAACAATACCTAGGCATTTGATATTTGGTTGTTATTACCAATCAGATTGTAACATCGTTTTTAGTAAAACAATAGCTATCAACGGGTGTCAAAGCTTATCACAACAATAACCTTTAGCGACATGTTAAGTTGCTAGTAACTAAAGACCGAGGTGAGGTTTATAGGTAGATGTATTTTTTTTTAATAATAGCACGAAGTTGCAAATTATGATCAGTTTTTGTTTCTAGTATCGCCCCGCACTTATCAAATATGTACTTCTCAACTTATGGGTCAGCTCATGTGGATTCTGTGTAATACACACGAAAAAAGCCAAATAAATACCAATGTTTCATCTTGTAGAGAATAGGCTACCTATATAAAATATATACACGTAATTGTAAAAAATAATATTGCTCGGTGTTAAATGTTTTTGTTAAAAATATCCGCATTAATTTCAGGCTGGCGCAGCACGTCAATATGAAGCGCCTGGTGATATTTATGGGAGCCGCTCTGGCTGTAGTAGTGGCTAGACCAGAACTATACAAAGAAAAGGAAGATTTTCAATTTTCACGAAGTTCCACGGATGAGGGCTCCAAATCAGGATATTATGGCGCTCAGCGAGGCAACATGGGTGGCAACTACGAACGTGCTCATAACATGGACGCTCTAGCTCAAAATCAAATGAGTGGCCTGGTGCGACAAGTCGAAGGAGAATTAGGCAACGGTGCCAGAACGAGAACTGGAAGTGTATACACCGCTGCCAACTCTAGAGGCACTTACGGATCGGGGCACTATGACCTTAGCAATCTTGCTGGGCGCAATTTTCAAGAAGGTGTATCTTACGGAGACTCACACTCGCAATCATCATTAGCATCATCTTCAGCGTACAACGCAGCGGGATACTCAAGTAGCCAGTCACATAACTCAAGGCACAGTGGATACCACGCAGGTGGACACACAGGTATAAATCTACAATCTGATGACCTCCAAACACTAGATAGTACTCGTGGAGCTGGCCAGTACGATTATGGTGGCAGTCAAACGGGCTATAGTTCCGGGTACAACGCGCAATCTGGTTACCAACAACGTGCTACATTCGATGCCAGCAATTCCAATCTCCAATCAGGCGGCTATGGATCAAACATTCATACGAGGTTAATAAGTGCAACACCAGTAAGAGTTATCGTAAGACCAGGAACGAGGGTTGCTATACCTGTAAGTGCTCAAACATACGAAATTGCACAAGGATCTCAAGTAAACCACAATTCTCTTAACAGCGACGCTGAAGTATTAAGCAACACCAACCAGCATGCTGTATATAGACCTAGTAACGCTAAACATTACGAATCATCTTACAACTACCGCAAGGAATGGGAAAAGCACGATACCATTCCTTCAACCGTTGCTTCATCTACTTCTACAGATAACCCATTCCCTAAAAATAGCGAATTGTATGAAGACAGTCAGGCACACACAAGTAATGCTCAATATGATGCTCGCAGAGTAGATTCACAAAGAGCACACTCCAGCAGTGTATATGGTGGATACAACGCTGCCAAATCTACATCTGGACAATCTCGATTGAATTACGACGCACAACGTAGTGGACATTCAACTTACAATAATGTCAACGGTTTTACCGCAGCGGCATCTAACCACCAAGACTCTGCATCAGACGCTAGATCAAATGGTTATAATGTCCAAACTCAGTATAATGCAGGAAGATATGGAGCTGCAGTAGATTCTAATTCGTTGACTCAAGCGGTACATAATTCGGGGTTCAATGCCGATTTAAATAGCCAAGTAGAAACTTTAGACACTAAGCCCAAAAGTTATCAATCTTCTTACTCTTACCATAAATCATGGGAACGTCAAGGAGATCCTTATGTTATCAAGCCCGCATCTGGCGCATATTATGATGGCCAGTCTTCTCAAAGGCTGACGAGTTCATCACTGAATCAGGGATATGTTAGCGGGTCTCGTTATCATTCACAACAAAGATCAGAAGACTGTGACGAGAATGGCCACATACGTGTTGCCCGATCGTATAACATTCATCAGTTTCAAGATCAACAAGAGCAAAAAAGCCAGAATTTAGAAGATTTGGGTCAGCAAGTAGAAGATTTCGGTCAACAAGTGGAAGATTTTAGCCAACAAACCGGTCAACAAGTGGAAGATTTTGGCCAACAAACCGGTCAACAAGTGGAAGATTTTAGCCAACAAACCGGTCAACAAGTGGAAGATTTTGGCCAGCAGACTCAAACTGCCTGGGGCCAAGATGCTGGACAGCAGACGCAAAATGTATGGGATAACGTAGAAGATTTAAGTCAACAATCACACAACCAATGGGACAATATGGAACAAACATGGTCCAAATTCGAAAACTTCGGTCAAAAACCCCAAGATTTAAATAAGCAAACGTCAGACCTTGATCAAAAAAACCAAAGTAAGTGATCAATAAATGTCATGTTACTAACTCGATATCTCCAGTTTTTGTCTAAACTGGCCTTATAAAACATTTAACAAACTGTCTTATCATAAATCAATCACATTACTCTCAAATAGTAATATTAATACTTTTTTTCTTTCTACATAATTAAATTATCATCGATTACTACTGCTTTTTCAGTTTTTCATCTATAATTCTGTAAAATTGCATCAGATAATAATTTAACCATAACGACTATTAGGTTGATATTTATTTGGTGGCAGCTTTACTATTTTTAAAGTTACATAAGTCGAAATAAATATGTGTACGTATAATACTTACTAAATTGCGTAACACGAAAAATAGGCACATAATGTACTAATTCGATGTTTTCAATATTTAGTTAACTACCACTATGTTGTTCACATATCAAAAACTCGAAATTTAGAATGTTCTCGATTTAATTTTTATTGTGTTATTTTATGTTACGCAATTGAGTTAATGGTGGAGGTGATATTTTTGGAATATTATGTACATTATAAATATAAATAAAACTAATATTGTTATGACAAGTAAACTAGCAATATCTTTTTTTATAAACTTTATTTTATTAAAAGGGCTGAAATCTTCTGTATGAAAAAAAGCCCTTTTAATAAAATAAAGATTATAAAAAAAAATTAACATTATGACTTGATGTCATTAATTTTAATTCGATGATTTTACATTAAATTATTTTCAAATAAACACCATACCTACAATGGGTTTTTATATAACTTATAGAGAATAGTTATCTAGATCGAAGAAAAAGAACACAAATAATAGCCGCAAAATTAAAAAAAAACGCAACTTCGACATTTTAATCGACATTCATTCATTACATTATCAATCTACAAATAAAATAATAACATTACTAATTTTGTACTAAAATTTCAACTATTTGTTGAAAATAAACATTAAACCATTTGTGCTCAATACTACCAAAATTAAATAAATTTTATTATGAAGCCAAATTTTAACTAGACTTTCTTAATTTAGATGATCTCGGACAACGCACACAAGGCACAGAATTAAAAAATAATACTCAAGACCAACAAACACACGATATCTGGGATATGAGCAATATACGACAAGATGACCAAGAACAAACTGGTATATTTGATCAAAATCGTGAGCAATTCCATAAATTCAGTGGTCAAGATAGTCAGAGTGGGTATCAAAGCATACAACAAAGTAATTCTCAACAGAGCACTGACAACTTGTATAACTTCCACAAAGAAGAAAGCTCTTTTCATGCAGCACATCATGAGAGTAACCAATGGCACATGTACACCGCAAGTGATTCTCGGGATCAGACTATGAACACTAATATCAACACACATTTACATACAATTATTTCAAATTCACCGACGGCACCTGTGGCTAGCATTTGGGATAAATTAGGTAATTTGGAGCCCTCGTTATTAACAAACAAATCAAATAAAACTGAAGAGCATAATTTATCACAAGCCCAAAACACTCATGGGCATTCAATGCGGACTGACAATCATCCTATGAATGGTAATAACGTTCAAGAAACAGAAATGAGCCAAGTTAAACCAAATGGTAATCGTAACGAGCACGAAAGTACGCATGACGTGGGCCGCGGTGATATTAGTTCTGAAGATTTAATAGACTCAAAACCTAACAAGCATCCCTTCGGCACTTCAATGAGCATGGAAACAACAGAAAACAAAAACAAAAAGGAAGTAGAAACAGATTCACCTCAAAGTGATTTGAGCGTTCTGGGACTCGTTGAACAAAAATCCGAAGACCAAAATAATAGCAATGATAAGACTAGACAAAGCAATATTAATATTCTTAGCGAAAATAAGAACTCAACAGAGAAGTCACATGATTGGAAAGAACAAAGAGCCATAGAAAGCTCTGGTGAAGTAAATAACGATAATTGCGATGACAAAAAACAACAAAAGGAGACATCTACTACTACTACATCTATCCAAAACAATGGACGGCGGAATAAGTTAGAGCAAAAACCAGTACAAGTTATTGGTCAGGAACAAAATTTAGAAGACTTTAGCCAGCAGCAAAATATGGATCAAAGTTTACAAGATTTTTTCCACCAACACAACTTAGACCAACAAAACATGCAAGACTTTGGCCAGCAGGAAAACATGGAGCAACAAAATTTACAAGACTTTGGCCAGCACAGAAATATGCAACAAGAAAATTTGGATGACTTTGTACATTACCAAAATACAGAGCAACAAAATTTGCAAGATTTTGGACAGCAACAAAATGTACAAGATTTCGGTGAACAGCAAAATATGGAGCAACAAAATTTAGAAGTATTCAGTCAGCAAGCAGATAGGCAGCAACAAAATGTACGTAATATTGAACACAAAGAAAATTTAGATCAGCAAAACATACATGATTTTGGTCAGCAAAACATACATGATTTTGGTCAGCAAAACATACATGATTTTGGTCAGCAAACTGACTCCCAGGAACAAAGTTCACAAAATATTTGGCAGCAATCTGACCTACAGCAACAGAATGTACATGATCTTGAACACAAAGAAAATTTTGAACAACAAAATTTACATGGTTTTGGTCAGCAAACTGACTCACAAGAACAAAGTTCACACAATATTTGGCAGCAAGCTGACCTACAGCAACAGAATGTACATGATCTTGAAAACAAAGAAAATTTGAAAATGGATCAACAAACCTTACAAGATTTTGTTCAGCAAACCGATTCACAGCAGCAAAGCCTACAAAATATTTGGCAGCAAGCTGATTTACAGCAACAAAATGTGCAGGATTTTGGACAGCAGGAAAACTTAGATATTGAGTCCATTAACCAGAATGGACGTAGAAACAACTACCTTCAGAAACAAGAACAGGACATAACATTACCAACGCATAAACAACCATTACCATACTCTCCACCTCCTAAAGAATTAGAAGAGGTTGTTGAAGTTAAAAAACATAACCATGATTTACAGTCAATATCTTCCAGTTCTACAGTAGTAGTACCAGTAGAGCCATCAACTGAAAAGCCCGGTTTTTGGAAATCTATAGGAAATAAATTCACAAATGCCAAAAATAAAATAGCTTCATGGTTTTAAAATAAACTAAAGATTTTTAATTAATTTAGGGATAAGTATTTTGTATTAAAATACTTTTATTTATTAATAAACCTAGTCATAATGATAATATTCTTAGACAAGTACAGTTTAAAGGTTTGCTGAACAATGTTTGTATTTTTACTAACTTACCTCCGGTAGAGATTGAAAATATTTGACAAAAGCTTGCTGCTGAACCGAATCTGTTGAAATAAAAATTATGAATATTAGGGATATTATGTTGTATTATGAGAAGTAAGTTTGTAATAAAATTTGTAAGACTATGTACTTTGTTTGTTTTTTTTACATCTTTATCCCAATTGCAATGAAAATGGTGGACCCTTTAAAATAACCAAGATATAAAATATGTTGGAAACACAATGGAAGAGGAGAGAAAGAGATTTTTATAATTTTTTTTGTAATTTTTTGAGTCATATGTAATAAAAATAATATTATTATTTTTGTTGGATAAATGCTATTTATTATTTTCTGCTTAATAACCTGGTTGAAAGCCACCTGATATCAGAACTGGCTTAGTCAAGTCACAAACTCACTGTCACTCAGTAAATTAGGTTCTAAATGTAAATGATGTATACAAGTTTTTATTCATAGTGTCACAAGACAAGGTCAAAAAATATTGTGTGCTTAACTTAGAATGAACTTGTTAAGGGCACAAAGTTTAAATAACAATACAAAAAGATTTTTTATGCTCAGGATTTTGGGTACTCTCCAATATATAACTTTCAAAAGTATTTTTTAAGTTATTTATTAAGAGGTACTTAGTTTCAATTTGGTTTGGTTGCATTTACTTTATTTAGGCATTACAATGCAAATATAACTTAATACGTAAGATATCTATTAGGTTAGTACTTAATCTACAACCAAGTAGTAATCTAAAATCAGATACAGAATTAACAAATAAATAGGTATTCACAAATGGTTGTCTTACATTTCATCAAAACAATATTTTAAAGTCAATTGGTAAGTAAAAGTGATCTTCTTACGCTAATGATAAATAATAAACAATAAATAAACATGTTTATCTTACGTTTTAGGTTCACAGCCCTCGCAGGAAAGATTATTATTTTGAGCTTAGGACACAATATCATTCGAAAAAGAATATGAATTATATATATTAAGTTACTACTTACCCAAGCTAAGAGCGTGGATGGGTTGTAAAGAAGACATAATTTAGTTTTAATAAAGATTAATATGACCTAAATAAATCACTTCAAAGGGTATACCTACGAATATTTTTATTATTTTTTATTTATTGACAGCAACAATATTGACATTATTGTTCGACTCCCGCCAATTCTACGTTCGTGACATTAGTTTACCAATGTTTCCATACCTTTTAATTCGTACATGTTGCCAGATAACATATATCATTAACTAAACTATATAACTATATAATATGTATATAGGAAATCTCTTATCAGCAGTTAACAACAGGAGGTTCCTGAAACAAAAACATACTGTGGCGGAGCGTGTCTTACAGCGCCAGAAGCCTTTCATTTTTTTATATTCACTTACTGCGCTAAAAAACAAACCTTTGTGGCATATTGTGTCGTGCGGTGCCATACTTTACGTAATCAAGATAAAAAACAGATTGTATGTCTTGATTTCAATTCGTAACATTTAATTTCCAACACAACTCACCCCCCCAATAGGAGATTATTTCAGATATTAGTGGTCCCTAAAATTCAACAAACAGGAAGACCTTTTGTGAATAGCTTGATACTTACAACAAAGTTGGATAATTAATTCAACAGATTTATTTTTATGGTGAACAAAGCTATCGTTCCTTCTAGGTATCAATTAATTGCAATTGGTTCGACCCTATCTTTCTTTTTTCATCTGCCTGTTTCAAAATTATCTTGTTTTGATATAGATACTGATTTATACGTCTGTGGTACTATATAGTTAATATTCAATACGAAAAACCATGGATTTAAACAGTCAACAACGGAAAATTAAAAAGTATATTGACTTTCTGTCAACAGTGTCAACGTCAAATCACAGATGTTATGTCAGGTGATCCAGTCGTTTTACCATTGGGCTTTGTATATTTTAGAAACGAACGAGTAACTCTTGTCTCGCTGGTTTTAATTTTATTTTTTAGCATAATATGTTGATATTTAAGTGTGGCCTGATAATTTTAACATCTACTTATATCGTGTCGTAAGTACCATGATCGTAAATAAAAATTACGTTGTTTATTTGTGTTATATGTTTTGATGTGTAATTCGCATAAAAAAACCAATCTTAATGTTCATTTGCTCAATAAATTGTGCTACCTAGGTAGCACTTTCTTGCTTCAATTTAAAGTTACAATGTTTCATAGTCTTGTTCTCGTTAGGAGTCTTACAATAGTTACTTGTTGGTTTGTTACTTTCACTTTCATTCGGAATGTGATAGTTATTTATTTTTTATAGTAATAAATTTCTTTTCTTTACATTCCAGTTTGTGTTTCCAAGTTTCGCAAGATACAAATTCTTTGGATACTGGCCTTGCTTTTTTGTTCATAGCCAGCGGAGCAATTGGTGAGAGGAATTTATATCTTAGTTATATAAAACTTATGTTGAAATCAATGTAGTACATACTTAACTTTGTGTTCTTAGTGCAGTGATTTTAATGCATTATTTACACTGCAACAAGAGATATTTTAAACTAAGGATTAGAAATATTGGAGATTTATTTTAGCAAAACCTTTTTATTTTAGTTTTACTTTTTTAAAGATATAATAAAAATTGTGCAATTTTAGCACGTTAACACTAACAGTAATTCTAAAGTATTTTTTTATAAATATAACATATTTTATTTTTGGTGTTGTACATCATTAAGCGTCTCATACATACTTTAAATTAGGATTATTAGAAAATTATAAAAGGTGTCTTCATCCCTTTTTAATTTATATTTATATTTTCTATTGGGTCTCATATACAGGCAGCTAGAGGTTAATAAAAAAACAGACATCTTTTATAATTGCTTAACATCCAAATCATTGCATATCATTACTAATATTTGTGCTAACACTTTGTCTGTTTGCAGCTGGCAAAATATTGTATGACAGATACCAGCAAATACATATACTTGGTTCATTAACACCCAATCCGAATGTTACTTCATTTGCAAATAGGATAGCTTCCTTTTCAGCCTCATTTCTCTCACTGGGCTTCCTGGTATACTTCTTCCTCTTCCTGTTTAAGGTAAGGTCATTATTAAATAACAGTACTCCATATACACCACCTTTTTCCAGATTTTGTTTTCTCATTAATTAATAATTGACTCTATGAAAGTGTTTTTTTCAAAATTTTGTTTTTATTAATTGTAAGAGGTTTTATTCATCTACCTAACAACTACTAACATTGGATTTAAATAATGATTGTATTAGTATTTTTAAACAAAGTTCATTGTATACTAATTAATAATTAACTGTATTGATACTTGATTTGACTTAATATTGTTTTGGCATTAAACATTTTTTAGATTTTATCATAAATGTCTTATGTGGGGTTATACTGATAAATGTATATTTGATACACAATTTCTAATTTAATATGTGATTGTTTATAGGTGGATAATCATTGCCTGACGGCATTGAATATTTTTATATGTGGATTTGGCACTTTATACATATGGATGCAGGTACGTCTATTGTTCAAGTTTTCTTTCATAGTTATGATAAAGCTTAATCACTTTACTGTGAATATTTTCATTGATTGGTTAGTTTGGTTTCGAATTTGTAAGGATACCAAAACTTAGCTGATCTTTATAGTCATTAGACAGGAATACAACAAAATGATCTTAGTGACAATGCTTCCATTTCTCTTTGGGAAATGACAGACATGATAAAGTGGTATTGTTATGTTATGCAATAATGTGCCTCTCTAAAACCTACCTGATGAATTGGGTAATAAAACACTATAAGAATGTAACACTTGCAAAATTACTTTAGTTGTTGGTACCTACCTACTTACTGTAACTTTAAACTTACATAATATTACGCATTTCTTACATTGTTATCACTGAACTGAAATGCGTAAAAGTACAATGCTTTGTCATTTTTAAACATTAAAAGTAAATGAAAAAATATCGTTATGACCATGTGGACCTGGTTTATCTCTAAATTGCTATTTAAAAGTTTTGGTGGGTTTGCCGGGGTCCCCGACCCAAGTAGGAATCATAAACCAATTAAAAGAGGCGTCGTAAAATAATGTAAAAGTTTTCTGCCTTATGATAAGGTGCAGATTGTGTATGACTGTGTTTAGCACACCTCTATTTTAGATACATGCTTAATTATTTTTTTTAATATTTAATAGATACATTTTTTACTGCAAAAATATAACGTATAAGATATTACAGTAAGAGTTACTACTGCGTTATAGCTACATAAGTATGTAGCTATTAAGTAATAGCAGCCAGACATTAGGCGTGAAATATCCCATAATACGTTTTCAGTCATAGGATTATATTCACCCACAGTCACGTTTATGTCCACGAGAACAACTACACAACATAATCCATAGAAATCGAAATGTCTATGTATCCATTTCTTTCCATAAAGTTGGTAACTTAATTCCATAATGTAAATTTTCTTTGATGAAAGAAAAATCGTCGGAAAGGTAAGAAGATTATATTGAGGCGGGATTGTTCTCGTACCGAGACGGGACCTTTGTTCTAGGCAGTTTCTTTAGATATAGGTACAACTCAGACGGTTTTTGAATTGAAACACTTTGGGTACCTACATAGGTAAAACTTAAATAAGCAGATTGTACCTAATGGTGAACACTTAACGTTTGCGGTCTGTGGTCGCCTTAATCTTGTCTTATACCTAATTTCTCACGTGATGACAACGACATTCACTAGTAAACTACGCAAACTTGCCATCATACTTTGAATCCACATAGAAAGAGAGACTTACGTATCCACTTTCTTTTCGCCAGTGTTTGGAGATCTCCTAACCAATACTGGTTACCCGATCCTTCCTCTCCCTAATTGCAGTCAAAATCGCCAAATCCCTAATCCCCAAAGGGTCGGCAACGCACTCGTAACTTCTCCGTTGTTGCGGGTGTCCATGGGCGCCGTTGATTGCTTACCATCAGATAATCCGACTGCTCGTTTGCCTACCTATCACATAAAAAACAATGTATTTAAAACGGGCTATATTATACGGATATAGAAATTTTAAAATGGCTTCTCCATCTACTAGTAGATACCTATAGCAATCAGCCTGTAAACTGCTCAACTGCGCGACAAATTAATTAGGTAATGCGCTTAGTTATTGGCGGATTAGCGATCTCGACCTATCGAATTTAATTACCTCACGACGTTTTCCTTACCCGAATGTGAGTGGTGATAAAATAGTATTCAGAAAGTAGGGTAATTGGGTAAATCACATTGGTAGTTGTCCGGTTTAGAACTAGCATGAACTAGCATGCCAAGCCACCACCAAATCTGGCTGGCCAAAAAGTTCATTTTTTTATATTTTATTAGTTGTTTACGAACATGTCATTTCACAAACACATTACGATTTGTGGATCACACAAAGAAATAAGTAGATTGAATACTGTGCCGTAATGTAGGAATCAGACCTGCAACACATTGCACGGCATCTGGTTGCCCAGCCACCGCGCCGTCAACTATGCAGTCATTAATCTGAACAGTGTTGATTAATTGCTTACCCCCATCATCAACATATCAGCCACAAGACATCCTTTGCTAAACTCTGGCAGCTGGCCATATATAATTACTCTTACTATCTAGGCATAGAATTCTAAACTTTACTCCCATTCATTTTCATATAATTGAATCTACATTTTTTTATTGTTTCAGTGCATCCTCACGACTTATATATCGACTCTGTATTATGACAAAAGATTAACGTTGTTTCGGCAATGCCTTGCCAATGTGAGTTTCCTTATTTTGGTTTTAATGGCAATATTCGGAACTGTAACATCGTTTTTGCCAATGAGTAAGTATTTTCCGCATTGTTGGATAGAACAGATATATGTATAAAATACCATCCATAGTTATCAAGTAAATGTATCCCACATAAGTAACCCGTGTTTATCAATGGGATCTCCAAATCAATTCCTTGTTGATATTTTTTGTTTACTTTCAGATGGTTCCAGTGCGATTTACTTCTGTTTCATCGTGACTTCCCTATGTAGCAACATATTAGCAGCAATATTTTGTGTCTTTATATTGACCTTTGAAAAAGAATATGAATATTTTTCTGAGGTTAGTTTCACAACAATCTAAAAGAAATATAAAAATCTTTTTGTTTGTATAGGACTAATTGTCGAATCAATTAATTAAATTTCAGGGTTTACGATCAGAGCTTCTGCTCGACGATGGCAGTACATTGGACAACGCATCATTGTCAGATATGGATAGCATATTTGGGGCCCAAGAATCCACTTCAAGTACAATCGTCATAAAGGGTAACATCACTTGCGCCAAGGTCTCCTGACCCGAGGCCGTGCCCGACGTGGGCACGGTACTTCAACAAACTGCTGTCGGCTCTCCTATGTCGCCGACTTACGGCAGCTTTGGTAATACTAAGATTAATATTGATACTATTAAGAAGCTTAATAATAACAATAACGAAAATGAAGATGTCGTTGATGCTCTCGAAGATAACGACAGCGGTATGTCATCCGAAGAAACCGACGAATCTCTTAAACTTAATTTAAGCCCTAACAATAATGATAACGTAAGTAAAAATATAAGTTCAATTGTAGACGATAAACAAGAAGTAATAACGAAGTGCCTAACTATAGAACCTCATTGTGCTGAGCACAGGAATGAGATTCCGAGTTGTTCGACCGATGTTAATCAAGTAAGTGTTTTTATTGAAGACGAGAAAGCCAGGTCTCACCAGGCGGAGCCTAAAGATCTGCATGTTGATAAAAGTGTTTCTGAATATATTGTGATAGATCTGACATGTGATGTCGACAATGTTCGGGCATTGTCTAAATCTAAAGGTAAAAAGAAGAAGGTTGTCGGTACAAAAAAACGTAACTTTGATTGTGATTATTCAAGTATACCTAGCGTAGAATCTAGCCAAAGTTTAGTTCCTGTTGCGAACAACGAGATTGTTAATACCGAGAACCAGAAGTTGCTCAGCTTGTCTCTCTCAATACTTCTCGCTGCCTTGCTGCAAGCGATGCGCTGTTTCGCCCAGTTCTTAGAAGATATTGTGGTTCCTCAACGGTAATAACTAATTAGATTGTGTTCCTTTGTATTTTTGGTGCAGTATTCACTATTATATTATTATTATTATGAAATATCAATGATATTATATTTAATTACATTGTAACTATTGGTTTCATTTACGAAAGATCCTTCGACGTAAAAATAACGACAAGATCGTGATAATAATTTAATAAATTACTTTTGAACATACACAAACGCTACTACTTATTCACACACATCAAATAAATTAATGAGGTTATAGGTCGTACACTAACTGATTATTTCTATTTATTGTCTGAATATTGTTTCACTAGTATTTCAGAGCGACGCCTCGTTGATCACTGTAATCAGTCTATTGTTTGGGTTATGGCACTTTTTCTTCCACTTGTTGTTGGAGTTTTTGGCGTGCATTTCTGGTGATTCTGGGTGTTCAGGGATAGTGGAGGCTTGTGGCGAAGAGTTGGCCACGACGATGGACCAGCGTCGTCCACGTCGCTCGTTCAGGTTCGGCAGCTCGGCTATTAGGTTGTTTTCGTATTCACTTAACATTAAATAGTTTTCGACCTGGAATGGAATTTTGATTTAATATAATTGTGACTACTACATATTCTGTTTGTCTTATAGGTATTGTTTGGCAGTGTCAAATACAGCCCAAGTCATCAACAATCAATAATAGTACTTGACATGAAAAGGGAAAAAATAAATAAGTACTTATTATTATAAATTATTTGTGGAAGTGCTCGTGAGTTCCATAAATCGGGCATCTATGTAAGATGTCGGATTCACCATTATTAAAAATAGTTAACGAAACAAAAGCCAGTACCTTATTACAACTAGTGATACAATCACCCCCGCAGTCTAAGTCCTCGAGAAGGTGTTCTGGTATATCCAGATCGAGGTCGAGGTCCAGGCCGCCTTCCTCGCTGATGCAGGTCAGCTCTGGCGGCACGTTGGGCGGCGGGGAGCCGAGGGTACCTGGTCGTATACTGTCCAGTAGGAGGTCGCGACCTGTACGCACTGGTGCTACAAATTCTGCTCCTAGAACTATAATGGGGGACGTAATGTAGATGGGTATAAGGTAGTTTTCATAGTGTAGATCGGATAGATTTGTAGGTATTCGACTGAGTACAAATCGATGATCATGCAATTTGAAAGTCCGACCGATAACTCTCATACATTCCATTCAGCAGCCTGTCCTGATCAAGGCTTGCAAGAAATTTCAACTGTGTTGATTTAGGTACGTATTAAGATCGTTCAAGGATAGAGGAGTAAATGACTTGATTTTCAGCAACCATACAAAAAAATACTGCGCTTGTACCAAGTCAGTAGTAGAAAACGCGATACAGATAACAATGAAATGAATTACAGTAATTGGTAATACTTAATTGTTTTTCTACAGTTTTTTTTAAGAAGCATTACCTAATGCGGTGGCTGCGCCTGCGGCGGTGCGTTGTTCTCGTTCGCGACTGCGGCTACGTCGCGACGGCTCGCACGTCGACTCACAGTTTGCAGTACCACCGTTTTCTCTGAAATTATTATAATGGTTAAATATTATAATTTATAGAACTCATAGCATGTGTACTTACGTACAATGTCTACCTATGTCTTTCCATATGTAGAATAAATGGTGGTATTTTTTGTGTAGGTATTTTCGTATTTGAAATCTATAAGAACGATTTATCTTAGATACCTAGTTAGAGTACATACACATCCTACCTGGCTAAAGACCTAAATTAATTAATGGTATAAATGTTTTTTCAACACACTTTCTCATAAAGTGGCTTTAATCCCATGGCAATTAGGCACATAATGGCACTTATAATCAAACTGTGACTGTTTCCTTACTATTATTCACTAGTGAGTAACAGTTTTTTATGTTATTGGTTAAGTTACGTTTACATTTATTTTGCTCTAAACTGCTATCCGCGAAGAGCCCCAAAAAAATAAATCTCATTTTTAGTCTATGGCTGATGCTCGCGCATAGGAAATTTGATTAATATTTCCCGCCATTACGAAACATTTTTCACAACTCGTCTTTTTTGAACTTTTTAATTAAGTATTATTTTATTCAAAAGTGTGTTGAAAAACGTCGTATAATACAGGTGTGTATTAATTATTACCGTCCTCGGCTCCTTAGGACCGCCTCAATGCGCCTCAGCGGTTATCACCAACATTACACACTCGTACCATAATGTTAAAGCTTAACAATTAACTAGTTTGATATACCTAGTAATATAAGTAATAATAACTTACTTGGTGTGTTTGTGCGCTACACTGCGCCTATGAAGATCTATACAAAAGAGAGACAGGGATCCGATGAGGGAACAAGTCGAGCTGAAGTAGTAGCCCGCTTTGCCGCCGCAACCCACGTTTATGTATCCTGAAAAAGGTAAAAATAAGAACTAGTATTTCTTTTTCTTCATTTGAATATTTTAGGGCTAGACTAGAGCAGCATCTAACTAGACCAGTTTAAGGGTCGATTCACATGAAAATTACCGAAAGTAGCACCGAGTCTGAATTTTGTATGCAGCTAATGGCAAAAGCTTACTTTAATGGGAAAATTTTACTTAAAAGACTCAATACAATTGATAAAATATGACTAATAAATCATTGCTGCTTCCTCTTTAGGAAAAAAACAATGTTATGGCTCAATTTTTTTCGTTGGACCTTTTATATGCCTGTAGTAAAAGCATTACAATTATGTAAAGCCTAATTGAGTTGCTATACCCACCTGACAGCGGCACTCCTATGGCGATGGGCACGGCCTGTGAGCACTGCACGAAGCCCCAAGTCCGTGCAAAGTTACGAGACCGGACTCGCTCGTACGTATACATTTTCAGCGAATAGTGGTAGCCACCGCAGAATATGCCTGAAAATGATAATTTTGCGTGAGTTCATTTCATTTTTATCCCTTAAGTATTTTTACCTAGCAGTATATTACTTTTTTTTATTCAGAATATATCCTAGTAGGATCTAAGTTGCTAAAAGTAGCAGTGATTTTCTCTCACTACCAGTAATCCCTCTTTCTTCAAGTTAAACTATGTAGTTGAATAATTACCGTAAACCCAAGCAAACATGACGTAGCCGCGGTAGGAGCCTTCAACAGCAGTGAGCGCCATGGTTGCTAGCCCACACACAAACACAGCAGCTTGAGTGAGGTACTGGCGGGCGATCCGGCATTCAGCAGAGTTCTGACGTACCAGCAGGCCGAACGCTGCACAACCCACTGCCCAGGCTAGGCCAAGGTACGCTTGCAAGAGTTCCACGGTATCGCCTAAACCTGTAACAATTTAATAGCGAATTTTAGATTCGTTTAAAAACCAAGTTATTTGTTTTAATCATTAAGTTCACTGATTTCATTATGTCACATTTTGATGAGCATGGTACTACAAAACTTTTACCAATAAATGTTTTAACATGGAAAAAAATTACCTTCTTCTTCAGCATGGTAAGCCAAATAGAATATCGGTGTGTTAATACCAAACGCAGATATTCCAGTTGACATAAGAAGGATTCTCACTGTCTTCGACTTTAGTGTAGAAAAGTCGAAAAATGGCTGACGATCATCGTTCTTATTTCTGTCTTTCATCTTCCGTTTGATCTTATTCTGATTCTTAAGATGCAATATCGCTCTTCTTTGAGGATGGTATAGAGATGCCGATCGGTAGAACGTGCCCAGTATAAATGTTGCGAATACTACGCCTGTCACAGCCTGCAGTCCTAGACGCCAGCCTATAGCTCTGAAAAACAATAATAGGTTGGTTTTACTATTATTTAAAACATAACTCAATATAGTCATTCTGTTTTGCTATATCTTGATTAGGAATTTCATACAGCGGCCTCGGCCTAGAGCAGTAGAAGTAACGGATGGGATGTTAGTCAGTAAGAATCTGACATTTCCTCTCGCCCCACCCAGGGCGGAATTATCTACCGTTTAGTTAGTTGCTTGTCCATCGATGAAAGATAGTTTTTGTGACATATCTCTAACTAGCTATTCCCGCGCGGTTTCACTCGCTGCTGGGCTCCATTTCATTGTAGCGTGATGTTTCATAGCCATTTCATCATTCATTTCCATAGTACTCGGGAATTAAATAATAATTAATTTTGGGAATCTGACCACTGGTTCCACAGATAATCCCCTTCAAACAAACTTACAAATTTTACCTCTTTATAATATTAGTATAGATATAGATATATAACTGAGGCGGCAAGTAGATCATTTTCGATGGTACCGCATACTGTTCTGTTGTATGTAAAATTTTCTTTACCTTATGGCACCTTTGATAAATGTGGACATGACGGCGATGCCGAGCCCACTGCCGCTGACTATAAATATCTCGACGAGCTCTCTTCTTCTTTTGAAGTATTGCGCCACCATCAGGGTTGAGCAGTCCCTCGTCAGGCCCACGCCCACACCGACTACCGTCCCTGTAGAGAAGTTAACAGATTAATTTAACTTCTTGTACTGGAGACCACTAAGAAGGTAATGTAACACTGTAATTACTATGCTCCTTTAATTAAGATAGATGTTGATATGCGTTGGCAACTTTTTATTTCATCTTGTATATATAAGTGCTCATGTACATAATAAATACGTGATAAGCGTGATATCAATCACTTTCACCACAAGTTTAGGTTTCATGTTATTTCCAAGAAATAAAAAAAATATTCCCACTAATAGAAAACTAGAAATCGAAACGTATTATTCTCAATGTTTTCTTTATCTGTAGGCAAATTAATTATTTCTACGCGTAGGTATCCCATTGGTATGTCGCTTACTTAAGCAATATTTTATTGCGAAGTTACATTCAGTTTGCCTCCGCTAAAAAGGTGCAATACGGTAGTTTAATCTAACTCTAACTAATCACTTAAATCTAACTAATCAAATTCAATATTTTTATCCAAATGTCAAAAACTATACTTTTCTATGAAATTTGTATGAAACGCTGAGTTATGACGTCATAGTATTTTAACGTCAAATAAGTACCTACTTATTTCTTAAAAATTAGTTAATAAATATCTAAAATTTTGTGTCTCTATCGATTGATGAATAAAACTATAGTTTTTTCGAATTAATTTCTTTTTGACCTAGGAAACTACACAATTTATTCATTTCTAAAACAATTAGGTATTTATCAGTGCGACTTAATTTAATAGACAAACTCAAAACTGAAGCCGTGTAATGTATTTAAAAAATTAAGCAGATTACAAAAATCTACTTTTGGATTTACGCCTACGCTTATCTGCTACGAGACTACGCGCGTCTACGAAAAATTCTAAGTAGATATTATTATAGCTTAGTAGGTGTATAGCTTAGTAAATGTGAGATTACTTAAGTGTATTTATGTAATGTCACATTTTCCATTTAGATATGCGGTGCATTTCATAGCAACGAAGAGCAGGATATGAGTTTATGGTCTGATTTTTATCAACAGTCTTCAATGGGTATAAAAACTATTTTTTAAATACCTAATAGTTAATTGTTCATAATTATGTTGCTTAAACTTGTAGTTGTTATAATTTATTATTTTGGAGAGGTGAGATGATTGTCTATTCAAAAATTCTCGGGTAATGATCAAAGATTCAGCGTCCCTTTCTCGAACATATAGCAAGAATTTGTTTTCAGTCAATTAATTACATGTTTATTACGTTTACAGTCAACTATTGTACTCAGACATTTAATGATGACTTCTTCTTTCTCAGCCTCATTTTTTCGGAATACATTTGCTAAAGACTGGATTAACCAATCATTTAAAGCGTGAGAACGGCACAAACACGAATAGTCTACAAGAGTTAAACTAAAAATTTAAGTTTTCTTTGTACCTTACAAGTCTCAGAAGCAAACAACATGCAATCGCTTGAAATACGAGTAAACACAAAAGTCGTGAGCAATTGCAGCATTTCGATGTTTAGTAGTGTTTTCAAACTGTTCAATACTACTAGACATTGCAATCATATTTATTCAGCTAGCGACTTTGCTCAGATAAAGCTGCATCAGATTGCGGTGTAGACGATGCCGTCCATTTTCTTCTCATGATAAGCTTTCCCCTCCCTCTACTTGAATATAAACCGATAAATCTTATTTATTTGGCCTTTCATAATTCTTATAAATAATAATATTGGTCGTTTGAAATATGAGGTTTTAAATGTATTGATCCTGAGATTTTGTTACTAAGTTAAAAATATGAATGGAACTGGAATATGTTTTGTTCTTGATTAGTTTAGAATTAGGAGTTAAGAAGGTATATAGAATAATTCAAACAGATCAGTCATTAGTCTAGATGTGGGATGAGTTCTAATAATTTTCGCCATCGAAGTAATGAGCTAATTAAATTACCCATTTAATTATTTACAGTACAACTAATAATTTGTATCTGTTCCCGTAGGCAATAGAAATAACTCGTAGTGGGTATTGACTATTTTTAGTGATGCTCTTCCATTGTAATAACAGTTATTGTGTGTATAACGTTATTGTACGTGTTACAGTTGGCGCGAACTGCTATCGTTATTCGCCCATCATTGCTCTCACATTCATAGCTCGTTGCATTTGTAGTGGTCGTTGAAATACCAATCGAAAGTCGGTTTCGCGTTGCAATTTAATGATATTGAGATACTAAGCACCTAAAGGGGGAAATTATCTCTATAATATGTACTATCGGTAGTCGTTTAGCTCCCAGTTTGTGAAAGTTTTCCTCATATCTGGCAGCGCAGGCTAAAGCCAAGATACGCAATAAGTATTTCCTGTGTAACTAAGAGCCTGATTTCCCTGAAGATTGCGAGAAACACAGCGTAAGTCTAACTTTAAACATTATTTGAAAGCCATTCTGTTGAAATATTGAATTTTATGATCAAAATCGTAGTGTTCCCAAACTCTAGACAAGAACTTTAAACATTAAATTTTATGGGGTCCTGTGTCCGCTGTCCGTTCCAAATCCTAATTATCTGTCCCGAATTAAATTTGATCGGATAGAGATGACTAGTAATTGTTCTTCACATTCGTAGAATTTCTAAATACCCAGCGATATTAAAATTACAAATTATGATTATTATAGCTTCAGTCATGGCGGATGAGAAAAAAAACAAATAAGGTTGATTTTTGGGTGGCATAGATAACTTTACTCGAACTTAGTAGACCATAGAAGCTACAGAAGCAGCTCATTGTAGTGGGTAGCAGCATCCCAATTTAAATGCTAATGCGCTCAGTTTGGCGCCAACGCGTTATCCTTGAAGATAGAACCAGCTCAGCGTGTGCACTGTGCGCACGCATTGCAGCAATATGATAACTGACATGGGTTAACAGTAAAACATATTTAGTAAAAAGCTAAATATTGCATTAATAAAAAAAACCCAACATCCCAATCCTATCGTATGAGAGATGTTATGGAGAAACTCGCTCCAATACTTAGGTATCAATGTATTATAAATGTACGTAAGTACATCTTTTATTATTCTTGAGTTGAATATAGGATAATAGTAATTTTCTTTTTTACCTTAACGTTTTTCATGTTAAATTATTTGATTTCTAATATTTTTATTTTATTCCAGTAGAGTCAGCATTATTGCTACATACGCTTTTTAATAAAATATGCCACCGGGTGTTGATACGATTTGTGGCTTATTCGGTAATAGCCCACGAGCCAATCCGCGAGAGCAACGTCCATTTCGTTGAATTATTCCTCAGAATTATTTACTACACAGAAAATCCAACTTTGAATTCTAAGAAACGCCGTACCTACTAATAACAATTTATAGCCATTGAATAAAAATAAAATTATATTTCGGAAACTTCATTGATTTGTTATTTGTAAATAAAAATAAATAATGTAAAGTAACTAAGCAATAAATAACTCATTTCAATAAATATTTTAAGTTCTATTTTGGTTGGATTCGGTGCGAGTGAGTATGTAGATATCCGCTTATTTACACAGAGACCCAATTAGCGGATACCTTTGAAGTTGACTTAAACGAGTTTCGGATATGAATCTGATGAAATAAATTGAGTTGTCAGGATTGCACGCCGCGGTTTCAGGTGCATTAACGTTCCAATTATTTATTCTGTGTTAATGCAAGTGTATGCGAACGTCCTGGCCGGATTCCTTACGACATTTTAGTTGATATTATTAGGCGCATCATTAATATTATTCGGTATGAGTCTTATAACCTAGATCCTGCGACGCAATATATTAATATAGTACTAACAGTACGAACTAATTTGATTTAAACGAATACCCAGCTGCTCATTTGTAATCATTTGAACATGATTTAGCAAATATCTGTTTTATGCATGAGAACATTTTGATTCAACAGGACAGTCTTTACACGATTTTATATGGATCTAGGTTACTAGTTAAAATGAATAATTCTTACCATAACTGAAGAAGAGCTGGTGGAATTGCGTGGCAAACGAGGTAAAGAGGCAGCCGAGGGCGGCTACGAGGCCGCCCACCACAGCCGTGACCCGCGTGGACTTGCGCACGCACAGAGCCACTGTTACTGGCGACAGCGCAAGCGCCACTCCCGCGGACAGAGCACCCAGACATCCTGAAACATACAAAAAAACATTAATATCCATTCATATAATAGCACGTAACGCACTTGCAACTCCTTTGGTGATACGAAAACACAATACCATTGATTGCCATCAGAAACAGCCACAGGGTTGTGTTTCGCTGTGTGATTGAGGTTCCCGGAGATTCAATCCGTTCCTTTCCTAATTCCTCCCCAATCCTAAAATCTCCAAATACTCAAAAGGTCGACACACTCGTACTGAACTCGTAACTCCTCCTTTGTTGCGGGTGTCCATGGGTGATGAATGCTTACCATCAGGTAATCCGAGTACTCGTTTGCCGTTCTATGGCCGTAAAGAAAGTCATATGATCCATATGCCTTTTTCCTCACTCATTTAAAAAAGACTTCTTTTTTCAAACAGACAAAGAGAAAGAAAGGCACCTTCAATTCAACCCACGTTTCCTCTGTACACCTAATAAGAGACCAACTTAATACTTTAGTGTGACAATGGGTAACGAGCCCATTGTAACACTGGACATTTTTTATAGTCATCCAGTAACCAGTCTGCCGTTTATTAGAAATGCATGTAAACAAGAATGCACATTCTTTGTTCGACGTTGGAATTTGTTAGGACTTCTCGATTGTAATTTTCTTTTATAATACGCTTGTCCTATGACCATAATACTGATAGTTCCTTAATATAAAGACATACGTTTATACAACACTTAATTTACTTAAATTACAGATTATTAGTTTATCTTCATAATTTTAGTTGTCACCTCATCAACCGCATAAATAAAACAACTACAAAAAGTCTTAATCAAACTCGTTTTCACATCGGCGATGACGATTTTGTCTATAAATTGAATAGTAAACTTCAGTGCTTCAGCTGTGCACAGTTCGTTTTTGCTTACCAAGTAGCGGACGGCCACAAAAAGCTCGTGATGTTTATTGTTATCCAACGTCGTAAAGATTCGCGTGCAGGCATTCCGTCTGCCATGTAGGGACGCGTGCCTCCTTAGGGCTGGCTCCCACAATACCAGATTTATGCCAAAAATATTCATGAACACACCTTTATATGTGTTATCCGACAGTTTAAATAATTTGACATAATGTTATTGCTGCTCATCTGCTTTATACATGAAGTAACAACAAAAAATGTCCGAGCTCATGAATTATCCAACTCGTGATTTATTTCGGACCAAGTTTCTCATGTTTCTTTATATTTAACAGTAAAGTGATATGTTAATTAGGTGTCAGTCAATGTAATAAATGCTTTTGGCACTCAGAATGTCTGCTGTGTGTCAGTTGTAATTTCAGTCAAGTGACAGAAACTTTCTTGGGACTGTGTTCGTAGAAAAATTAAAAAGTAAGTATTATTTGTTTATTTTATCGTAATATACATAAATGTATTTAGTCATTTGCACAGTTATCCCTATAATCAGGTGACAACCCTAGCCGCTGGTACGATAATGATTAAACTTTATAAAAAAGTTGACGCGTTAGTTTAATGGAATTATCGCTGAAAAATGACCTTTTATTATTCAAATAGCTGTTTACCTAAATGATTCATTTAAGTCTAGGTACTTATGGGAACCAAGCTTCGGCACGAATGGGTCGGCTCAACCGGAGTCTTACTACAGCCTACAGCGTAGTGTTTCGCCGTGTGAGTGAGGTTACCGGAGGCCCAATCCGAAAAAGATCCTCCTCAATCCCTCCTTAATCCCTAAATCTCCGGAACCCTGATCCCAAAACGGCAACGCACTCGTAACTCCTATGGTGTGCATGTGCCTATGGGCGGCGTAGATTGCTTACCATCAGTTAATTCGTCTGCTCGTTTGCAGACAAATCAGATAAAAAGAAAAGTAGAGTTATTTATGAGCCAAAAATTACACAAAACATTTGATTTTGATAAAAGTGTAACTGAATTTTCAAAATGTTGATCAAAAATAGCAACACACAACGGACGGACGAATAATCTCAAGTATTTTCTAAGAAATACTGTTGTAAAGCAAAATATATTCTCATACCAATGTCAGCGCTTTCATCTCAGTAGAATTTGGACGGGATTTCAATGAATAAGTAAATTTTATGCAATTCAATTTCTCATGTAGAAGACGACACTATTGAACGGACGACTTATTTTGAACTTTCTGCCCTCGCCGACCGTTACAATAAGTATTTTCTGTATAAACTCTGTACTGTTTCTAACTTAAGATGTATTTTAATATTCCATTGCAATCATAATTTAAACTGACTAATTAGTTTGGCCTTTGTTACGCAATTTCGAACTGCTGCGATTTGTTACATTAATTAAAGTTTCCTTAAACTTTTCAATATTTCTTGTGCCATATGTTTTTAGTTAAGCACATGATGTGAATTTACGATCATTATTTATATTGTGATACTGCCTTAACACTTTTATAGGTTGAGATAAATTTTTTATCATCTCAAACCCAAGAAACAAATGAATAATCAAATCAATACATGACAATAAAAATAAACAACTAGGTAACCATGTTTAACGTCGTAGTACCTAAACAAGTATTTTCATCCTTATCTCCTCGATAAAATATGTTTAGGTTAAAAAATAAATGTATTTTTGTTTCGGTAAAGACAACCCAACATTTCAGGGGCTTTCAAGTCTAAAGATATTATTTCTTGAAGACCGATGCCTCGTCATTTCAAAAACACTAGTCATAGAACGCAATGTTGAAACGTTAGAGCATTCTGCCGACAAACCCTTAGTCTTAAGAGTTATTTGGACAATAGTTCAAACGTCGAGTGTACACTAGCGATTTTGTGTGGGCTCCGTCTGATGTCTAACAAACATTTCTATTGAAAAACTTTACGGACGACCGAGCGTTTGCGAAGTTCGTCGACACTTAAGAGCGAACGTCACCCATCGGTCACATTTACGGGTAAATCTTTATACCTACCTTACTTTACGCTGTGTAGGCTAAACGGAGAAGAATATATAATTTGAGGAATTATTAGTTAGTGTTTAAAGAATATATATATTTATTATTTATTTATCTGAAATAATTTGTACATGCTTTTATCTGATTCAGCAATCAACACTGCCGGATATTTTCTGCTACTAAGTACTTACTTTAGTATTTACTACTTAGAATACATTCGAAAGGGTTCTGTGTTATCGTTTTTATATAATCATGGGCCAAAATAACCCTTGACAATACTCAAAAAGCAATTCAGCTTCAGCTACCAACTTCTTTGTTACCTATTTGATGTAAAAGAAACCTTAGCCATTGTAAAGTTTGATAATTTAATAAACTTTAAATATAAATTCTAGTTGTCTGTTTTGTAGAATCTACCCCTATTTTTTGTAAAGAATGAAAGTTTATATGAAAAGGGAACAGTGGAAGCGAAATACACCGCTATAAATAAGATCTGGGCTTTTTCTTTAGACTATAACAAATGCAGTGGAATATATACCTAAAGTGAGTTTTTGTTCGCTCATCACAATCGAATCGAAATATAGAAACTGCGCTATTTCATCGTCTTGTTAATATCTGGAAAATTCTCTTTTTTTAAATTATTTTGAGTCATTTCCAACGCTTTTAGTTAATATGTGATGAAAAGACGTGTAATAAAAATAAATCGAAAATCGTCCTCTATTACTCTAATACCGTTTTGCTAAAGGCAGTTCGACCTTTTCGAAGATTAGAACCAAGTATATTAAGGTTTCATTAAAACATTTTAATGCTTTTTTATTTTCTTATAATATAAGAATAAGAAGTATATTATGGTATATACCTATATAGGCAAGTCGTTATATATAATATAACTCCTTGCCTTTATATATAGCCTGTTCGCAAGTCTCGCTAAATCTTGGGAATTGCTGGACAGAATTGGGTAATTTTATTATTGAATTAAAATATTCCTGGAAGTTGAGGGCAGGTTTAAGCGGTGAGAATATAGCCCGTGCTCTTTAAGTGGGGCGAAAGATACCTACTTAACAATTAACAAAATTGATATTATAATCAAAACATTTTGAGGCAGTATAATGATAACCAGGTCATACACTGTTAAATAAAAAAACAATAGGTACAATTTTAAGTCTATAGGTAATGACTGGTTGGTTTAGTATTGCCAAATCAAATATTTTTTAAAGTTGCATTTGTTTTACTAGTGTTTCCAGTATTTGACAGCGATGCGGACCTCAAACTTTATGATATGAAACATCTGACGGTGCAGCGCCATCTGCAGCATTTTACAGATAGTTTCATAATATGTTTGTGCAAGTTTACAACTGAAATAAACGCTGTATGTACACAATATAGATTTTAAACAAAGTTTGACATAGTTTTGTAGATGCACTTCTTTTACTGTGTTAGGTTGATGTTTTTAGCTTCATCAGCCTATAAGTGCCCACTACTGAGCAAAGGCCTCTTCTCACACGGAGAAGGTTTGAGCTTAATCACCATGTTTTCTCAAGGCGGATCGGCGATTTCAATCTTACAATCAGGAATTATAAGTTCAGATTAAATCACGATGTTTTCCTTCATCGTATATCAGTGGTGTCTAAATAGTAGGTAAATAACCATAGACGCTACGTATACCTAACTCAGAAAAAAGGTTTGTTTTTACAGGTTTGTGCATTAAAATAATTACTGAATTGTGAACTTATCATTCAAACATATTATAATACAAGGTGTGTTTATGGAATCATACTCGTATCTACAGGAAATTTTACAATGAGTATCGCATTGCCCTACCTATTTAAGTAGTTAGAATAGATAGAAGAAATGCTCAGTAATGTTAGATAAGGATATTTTCCATTTTTTGTAACAAAGGATCAACGAGATTACCTACTCAAGACTTATTTATTGGTTTGCATATTTTATTTAGTCCACCCCTCTGTCTACGGTCCTAGTCAACTAAATTCGGGCTCACGTCTTCAGCAAAAGTTTACAGGAAAATAAATATAAATAGAAAAACTTTTGCGACACTACAATCTTTGTGGCGAATTGGCGATATCCAGTACAAACAAGGATCAGACACAACATTCT